TGTAGTTGGCCATGGACTCAAAAAGGTTGCAAACCTCTGGGTTAAGCAGTAGGTAAGCAGTTTGAAGGGAAAGTGTGGGAAATGGCATATAGTGGCACCTCAGGTTAAGAACTTAATTTGTTCTGGAGGTCCGTTCTTAACCTGAAACTGTTCTTAACCTGAGGTACCACTTTAGCTAATGGGGCCTCCCGCTGCTGCCGCGCGATTTCTGTTCTCATCCTGAAGCAAAGTTCTTAACCTGAGGTACTATTTCTGGGTTAACGGAGTCTGTAACCTGAAGTGTCTGTAACCTGAAGCATCTGTAACCCGAGGTACCACTGTATAGAGCCAACACTGAACTTCCAACTGCAGGTCTCGGTGGCTGCATTATGTTTTTTTTAAATACTGTTTTAAAAAGTACTGGGTTTAGTATGTAGTTATAGCATACTGCTTATCAGTATCTACCATTTGAGCTCCATCTTCCACCCCAAATCAGTACTGAGTACGTCACCATGTACTATCAATAATTCTGGCTATGCACTTACATCCAAAGACTATTCTGTATGGCATACAATTCTGCTTCACATACTTCTGAATCACATTTGGAAATTTCAGAGGCTTCCACCAAGCATTCTAGCATTGTCCTTTTTTAAAAAAAAAATGGTTGCTCTTTTTCTTTTCTTTCTTAATGAGACTGACTCTTGTTCTAGAACATCACAGTCCCATAATGCATGTCCTTTCCTTTGGAACAAAACAATTCCAGAGCACAGAACCCATCTCTTCTGTTTTTAATTTTTTTTTTTTTTTTTTTTGCCACCACTAACAGAGAACTGCTGTCAGCTCTAGGTTATTAGGTGCTCACCTTCTGATAACAGCAGTTTCGCATTTATAGACTGTTCACACTTCCATGTCAAAATTAAGGGAGAAGGGAGGATTTAAAAACAACCACCACCACCACCACCTTTGGATAGGAACAGTGCTTTTTTTCTGGGGGGACACAGGGGTACACATACCCCCAAACATTTTGCGAATCTTTGTACTTTTGTCCATTTAATATATTTATTTTGAACTATAAAATGGTGATATTCTTGAATCAAAATGAGAGTACCCCTAAACATTTTTTAGGGGGGAAAGCGCACTGGATAGGAATACAGTGGTACCTTGGTACTCAAATGGCTTGGCTCCTGAACCAAGGTAACGCTGTTTATGTAACCGATAAACAGTATCTACCACCTTTTTTCTTCTGAAACTATTGTTTTTACAGGACTGTTTTCAAGACATGCAAGTGTTTGTCCTTCCCAATCAAGATAATCAAAGGACATGAGATGCATGGCGGTGGGCTCTCCTTCATGGGAGGTTTTTAAGCAGAGGTTGGATGGTCATCTATCAGGGAGTCTTCAGCTTTGGTTCCTGCATTGCAGGGGGTTGGACTAGATGACCCCTGGTGTGCCTTCTAATTGTAAAATTCTATGACGATTCTATGGAAATATCATGAAGTACAGTGGTCAAAAGTATAGGAGAAATCCCTGGTTCGGATCTCACCACAGCCACAAGCATGCTAGGTTGCTTCTGCTCACCCTCTGCATTAAAAGGTACAATAAAACTGGCTACCTTTCAGGGAAGCTAAGGATTCTCAAAATCATGTACAGGAAGCAATTTACAATACTTGAAGCACACACTTTGGAGTGTAAAGGCAAATAAAGTTGGGGCAGCTTTGGAGTAAGAGTTAGGCAGCCAAGGTTGTGTAGCTCACCCCTCGTTGATGTGATTACAGTTGGCAATACGGCATGGCTTTGAACCAAAAGGAAGTGGAGTCACAATATCAGCTGTACCACGGAGTGCTTTCAGATGTGAACGCACACCTGAGCAGTGTTGCACAGCTGCACCACATCATGGACCCAGCCAACACCCACAATGAATGTGGATGATGTCAGAACCACTCAAGGCATTTGACTCTCTTCCAGGCTGGTTAAAAGAGAGTTCTTGATCAACACAGATAGAAAAGCAGGTCTCTCTCTCTCTCTCTCTCTCTCTCTCTCTCTCACACACACACACACACACACACACACTTGTATTAATATAGTAATTAAATTATACTGTTGGAAGGGATATCAGAGAAGGAGTTCCCATCTCTTCTTCTAGGTACAATTCATGTGCCATTCTGGACAGATGATTATCAGTCAAATACTTTCTGGTGGCACACAGTGATTGCTTAGTTGTTGTTTTTACTTTAAAGACAGTTTGCAAGGGATATATATATATATATATATATATATATATATATATCACTGGGACTAACTCACAACAAGAAGAGATAACTTGCAATTTCTATTAAATTGTTCCAGCATGATGTTTGGAAAACAGTAATAGCGCTCACAGTTCTTCAACGCCTAAAATTTAGTGCTGTCATCAATTAAGAAATTGCAATTTATTAATTGCCCAAATTGACTAGTTGATTAATTAAATGTGCATAAAGTTGCACCTGAGTTAAAACAGCAGTTACAGAACAAAAAGCAGGCTTTGTTTTTAGATTTTTTTTAAAAAGCATCGCGCTGGGAGAGGCATACCCTCATTTTAGGAGAAAGGCAGAATGCCTCTCTTATCCAACCACAATTTTTGTAGGCATTTGAATGAAAGATCATCATTTTAAGAAAGAAAGAAAGAAAGAAAGAAAGAAAGAAAGAAAGAAAGAAAGAAAGTATTTGTCAATCAAAATGTTTTTTTGAAAAAGATTATATAATTAAATTGTATCACTATTCAACTGTGTCTGCTTCCTAAGATTTTACTAAGACAGTCCTGCTGCAGATGTGCTCTAGAAGAAAAGATGAGTGGCAAAAATAGACAGGAAGAGGGATAGAGATGAGGGAGACAGGGAGAATGAAAAGGGGACAGTGATTGTGCATCACTCATACATTCACAGGTCTGGAAGGACCCCCAAAGGCCATGAAATCCCATCCTGTAACTTATAGACAAATCCTTCCCTAATTCCAACACCTCTGAGAGGTGACATTACATCAAGAGCATTGTGGGAATTAGAAATGGCGGCTCTCCCACACCCATATGTTGAAACACATTCATGCCTCCTGAAGACAGTGGCTACTAAATGTAGAAACTTTTTGGTAGTAGACTCTCAGCTATCAAAGTTTACCTTCTAGTAGAGTGGTACCTCAGGTTAAGTACTTAATTCGTTCCGGAGGTCCGTTCTTAACCTGAAACTGTTCTTAACCTGAAGCACCACTTTAGCTAATGGGGCCTCCTGCTGCCGCCGTGCCACCAGAGCACGATTTCTGTTCTCATCCTGAAGCAAAGTTCTTAACCTGAAGCACTATTTCTGGGTTAGCGGAGTCTGTAACCTGAAGCACATGTAACCTGAAGCGTATGTAACCTGAGGTACCACTGTACCAAACTTGGTAAGCAATTTCTAGGTGAAAGGATAAGAAGATTTTGTTTTCCCACAGGCTTCATGGTGGGGGGGGGTTCATTTTCCGTTTTTAAAATTTCTTTCATTTTTATTGAAATAAGTCAAAATAATACAAATAATAATAATAAGTGCAAATATCAAAAAAGGCAGTTCAATATATATGGGAAAGACTTCAGCTGGGTAGGTGAGGTACTTAAGACCATTATGAAAGCCAAATTTTATGTTGTCCTGTGGAAACAGAGTCCTGTGTGTCTGCATCTGTTGTATAAAATCCCACCAAACAGCATAGAATTTTTCAGGATTCTCCAAGCCTTTGGCAGCACATAATTTATGAATTGTTTTTTCATCTAAATGCCATATATTTTCATACCAGTGTGATAGCCACTTTTTGGTTTCTTAAACTGGTTTTAAGTTGGTTCCTGAAAAAAACTGCTTCTAGAAACGGCTATGTATTTGTTTAACTTCTTTTAACTGTTGTTGTCAGCCACTTTGGAAATGTTATATTGAAGCGATGGGGTCAACTTTTAAAATAAATGAACAGAAATGTAACATTGTCAAGTAGGCCACTATCACTTTGCAGGTGAATCAGCCGAGTGGCAGAGCCTATGTCTGCATGTAACACTAAACCATATTAAGGTCAGTAAAGTAAAGGTAAAGGGACCCCTGACCATTAGGTCCAGTCGTGACTGACTCTGGGGTTGCGGCGCTCATCTCACTTTACTGGCCGAGGGAGCCGGTGTACAGCTTCCGGGTCATGTGGCCAGCATGACTAAGCCACTTCTGGCGAACCAGAGCAGCGCACGGAAACGCCGTTTAACTTCCCGCTGGAGTTATAACCTATTTGTATACTTGCACTTTGACGTGTTTTTGAACTGCTAGGTTGGCAGGAGCAGGGACGAAGCAACGGGAGCTCACCCCGTCGTGGGGATTCGAACCGCCAACCTTCTGATCGGCAAGTCCTAGGCTCTGTGGTTTAACCCACAGCGCCACCCGCGTCCCAAGGATTAAGGTCAGTAAGGCTGTAACAAAACCATGGCTTATTTTTGCTAGCAAATCATAGTTAAACTGCTGGGTTCACACATCATGTTAAACCATGGTTTAAATAAGTCTTAGTTATTAAACCATGGGCTAGTGTTACACGAAAAGCAGTTAATGGCTTCCTTCACATTTGATCCAGAAGCTGCAGTTAGTGCGGGAGGCCTTGTCAGCATATAACACCCGTGCTCAGAGAGCTACCAGGCCAATTTCAATGTGTTACTATTAGTATCTAAAGCCCTTAACAATTTGGGAGCAGTTTACCTACAAGATCTCCTTGCCCACATGACCACTTGCCCTGACCACTTTTTTCAGCAAAATTGGCACTACTATTGATGCCACATAACACCCGTTTTGCATTTGTAAGAACTCGGTCCTTTCATTTCGCACCACCTACACCTTGGAGCTTCCTGTGTTTTTGGGTACCTGATAAAACATTCTTGTTTAAACAAGCCTGCTTAGATGCTTAGAAAGTTGGTGCGGCTTTTAACCTGTTTTAGAATTTTAACTTTTTGTATGTTTTGAACTTTTCTCGTGGTTTTTTTTCTTGTTTTCTCTTTTTTTTGTAAACCTCCTTTTGAGTTTGCTGGTTGGTTTTCTTTTACAATCAAGTGGTGTGTGGATTTTATAAAGTAAATATATAAAATGAAGGCTGCTTGCGCTGAGTTCACAAGTGAGACTTCAGCAGAGTTTCAGCTTACGCAAAACTCTCTCTTTTTCTCTCTCTCCTTACCTTTCCGATAGCAAGAGCTAACATAACCCAGATAGCTGCTAGCAGGAGAAGGTGGGGGGGGGGACCACATTGAAAAGCTGAGGCAGAACTCTGGAGTTTCATGAAAGCTTCAGGAGACCCCCTTCTTGGTCTGACTCACCCGCATGTTCCACTTGCTGCGGGTGGAGATAGTAGAGTTGAAAGCAGCTGAGTGCAAGCGGAGGGGAGATGGGTGACAGAAAGTTAGAAGTCCATGTCAAGCCTTTCAGGCAAACAATAAATATTACTTCTGCTCATAATCAGACTTTTCTCCAGCATCGTCTTTGAATGTTGAACCTTTTTCAATTAATTAAAAACTATGCGCTGCAGAGTGCATATTTTATCAGCCCTCAGCTGCTTAAGTGTCGAGAAAAGACCAGGCAGTTTTTCTCATTCTTTTATTTCTTTCTGTCTGTGTTTCTTTTTTTCTAGGCAACCCAGAGCAAGTACTTGCAAGGGTCATATCTTTTTAATTATCTTTTCTCTCTTTGATTAATTATTCCGTCTGACAATAGCGTGTTTCTAATGCTATTCACCTGCCTTTGATGATTGACAACTTTTCTGTCTGATTCAAAGCAAACAGCTGCTGCCATGATTGCCTAGCAACCAGGATGTGATGGATGAGCCCCAAAGATGGATGGCTGCAATAAATCATGTCTCCAGCTATAAAACTGAAAAAAGAGGGATAAGAATAAAAAGCGAACAGGAAAAAAAAAACCACACAAAACAAAACAAGGTTTCTTCCCATGAGTGCACTCAGCTTCTTCCCAATTACACCTGAAATGGGCTTGGTGTCTATTAATAGCAAAGTTTTCTAATCAGGAAGAAGGCGATGATGCCATTTGTATCAAGGTGTGTTTACAATTGTTCCAGCAAATTGGTGCTTGTTCCTTCAATTACCTAGTATGCAAGGGAAAGGATATTAAAAGTTGTTCTCTGCAAGGCTTCGTAGGAAGCAACATTATTCTTAGGCCTTGAATGGTATGTATGCACACACCTGATACTTCCTTTTTCGGGGGGAGGCAACTAGCAAAGCAAGACTTTTGCTGGAAATAAAGGGTGGGCGAGCAACTCATTCAAGTAGCTTTTCGAGTGCTTTGAGAATCTTCCTAACTTCAACTCACAAGTTCAGCTCTTCCCGGCCCAAAACATCACCACGTCCTCCCTCCAACGAGAACTTGAGACGAGTCTTAGATACGAGCTCAGTAATACGATGCATAATCTTGCCTGTCTGCATCACCTGCCCGCCAACCATCTCTCTGCCTCTGAGCAGCACAGCTATCTTGTATACAAGGCAAGCATCCTTGTCAGGGAGGCCTTGCTGGCTGCTCTTCTTAAAAACAGATATGTGCTCTATGTGCTGGTGCATCCATAGGGCCTTTTAAACAATCATCATCACCAGCCACTAGATCTTGAGGACGGGAACATAGAGTAAAAAGTGTGTGGGAGAGGGACTGAGGACGGGTCAGAAGTAGGCTTCCAGCTAAGCAGGCAGACAGATGGACAGAGAGAATACCTACATACACAGTTATACATTCACACACACACACAGTTTTCTCTTCCCATTTCCTTCCTGAATATCCTCAGGAAGGCAAGACTTGCCCCAGAGGACAATTGCGGCTTCTGCTATCCCTCCTATGCTCCCTTTTCCCTACACTGAACTTCCTGTGGATTTTTCCTGCTCTTCAAGAGCAAGCCAGAATTGCTGCAGCAAACAAGAGCTGCTGCTAGAGAAGGACAGGGGAAGAAAAACAGTGGCACAATTATCAAGTATAATAAATAATAATAATAGTTGTAAAAGGAGGGGAATGGGTGGGCAAAGGGCTGAAAATTCACTTTGGGTGGAAAGGATGCTAAACTGCGATTGCAAATCCACCTTCCTGTTCAGCTGCCCGTAGATTCAAAAGCTGGGTACAAGCTGCTTTAAAACTGTGTTTCTATCTTCCACACATGCACGCTGGCAGTGTAAGACAGGATCAAAATAACTTTAAATATCACATATAGGTCTATCTAAGTAGAAACAACAGCAGAATGACCCTAGTTTTAAAACTTGATGACCTAAGGTCACTGTCAAATCTGTGCCACCATTGTGTCCCGCTAGACCCTAAAAAACAAGGTATTTACAGGGTGAATAAAATCTGCTAACAACTTTAGTTGGAATGCAGTGGTTTCAGTACATAAAGTTACAGGGGCCTGGTTTGCGCATCACATTAAATCATAGTTAGAAACAAACCATGGTTTACTGTGAACGTGGAGTATGCTGGGGCACACTGCTGAAAAATCCTCACTGTGCTGTTTCCTACTCCCACTGTTGCCACCATGCTTCAAGGAAGCCAGCCAGAGTCTGGCTTGTTATGACATCGAGACCTAGGCTCATGATTGTTTCTTTCTAGATGTACCACAAGGTTTGCCCTCAGCACTCTCCAAAGTCCAAATAAGTCTGACTAAGCAACAGAGTTTTAGCTATGGTTTACTGTGAAATTCAAACTGGGCCAGTGATTGTTCAAAATGCAGTCAATCATTCTTGAAGGGCTTCACAAATGTCTGAAAATGCAGATATGAACCAGTAAATACTGATAGTCACCTTTACATAACTGTAACAGGTATGCCAGAAAGGTTTCGGAAGTATATAATTTGGGGCACATCGAACATTCACCAGAGATCACTAACATTCCTTTGTGAATAATGCCATTTTGAACATTCACTATAGCATATATGCGCAAAACTTGCCAGAATATATAGGTTCCTCACTGTCAGTTATTATAAACTGCTGGGGGGGGGGCAGAGCAATTCTGTATAGTATTTTCACTAACATTTTTTGCACACTTGACCCTGGTATATGCATTTTTTGTACAAATTCTTTGGCTGGAGAACTGCATTGCAAAATTCACAGACGTGCCAACATAGGCGTGTTCCTTCCTGTCACTTATAATAAACCATTAAAACAGCAGCAAGGATCTACAACCTTCCAGATGTTGCTTTGATGACAACTCGCATTGCCCTTGACCACTGGCCATATTGACTGGGGCTGGTAGGAGTTGGAGTCCATTAATACCTGCAGACTACAGGGTGCCATCCCTGCATTAAAATATGTGAAACGGGGAATGCCAGCCCCCTCCTATTCTGCTGCATGTGTAATGTCCCATTTCCAGAGTTAACATTCTTGAATGACACCAAGAACCTCTTCACCCAGCCAAAGGATGTGGTAGAGGAGAAGAAAGCACGTCCACTGCATTTGCAGTTTGAACACAGGACACTATTATGAGTTGGAATTAATGTCCTAAACTTAGGGTAAGAGATATAAATACAGTGGTACCTCTGGTTAAGAACTTAATTTGTTCCGGAGGTCCGTTCTTAACCTGAAACTGTTCTTAACCTGAGGTACCACTTTAGCTAATGGGGCCTTCCGCTGCCACCACACCGCAATTTCTGTTCTCATCCTGAAGCAAAGTTCTTAACCCGAGGTACTATTTCTGGGTTAGCGGAGTCTGTAACCTGAAGCATATGTAACCTGAAGCATATGTAGCCCGAGGTACCACTGTAACAGAAATGCATATAAGCTCTGTGTGCAGGCCAAATAATGAGGCAAGATCTCTTCTTCTTCCCTTAATCAAAGCACGATGTCAATAAACCACCCTAAGTCTAATCAGGGCCCCTAACCCTAATCCCTCACTCTAGCTTTCTAAAAAGAATAGCTGCATTTTAAATATATATCTCTATGTTTCCTGAGGGTTATGGGGTTTGCAAAAAGTGAGACTGTCCAAAATGTTGCCTGCAGAGCACTGAAATGCTCCCTTTCTTTCTTTCTTTCTTTCTTTCTTTCTTTCTAGCAGGGTAGTGGATTTTCTTTTATTTTTAGAATGTTAAAAGCATCATTTAAGATTTTTAGCTTTTTAAAGAAATCCTACACTGCTCAGCTTCAATCGGGTGGGGAACACATGGCTGTTCAGAATTCCACAGGCAGTGTCCTAGACAGTATTACATCGTAAGGGCTATTGAAGACCTATTGCGGCCTATCAGACGACACAGAGTAAATCTGTAAGGTCTGCCAGAGGGCACCAAAACCCTGTGTGAAACTGCAGAGCATTAGAAAGATGTGCACGCAAGAATACACACCACTACGCCAACACTTAATTATTTTATTATAAGAAAGAGCAAGAGACAATTCCCTGTTACTCCCCATAAGAAATTATGAAGGAAAGTGAATCTTCTATTATTATTATTTCCCTCGCAAAAGAAACCAAACCCTGGAGCTATTTGTCTCCTTAATCGACTCTAGAGGGGCTCCCGTGCTTACAAATTTTATCCACTTTGGCCAAAAAGCGAAAAAGTTATAGCCACATTTAGATTCCCCATTATAGGGAAGACAGAGCTTCATCTAGCACACAGGAGCTCAGGAGCCAAATTAAAGATCAAAGTAGAACGAGCACAGAGCAACTCAGAAACAGATAGGAACTTTTAAAAATGTACTAATAATGATACATGGGCAAATATTGAAATACAAGCACACCCTTTGCCAAATTTCAGTCATATAGCTCTTACGACAGTATCTTAAAAATACTAATACTCTCACGAATTTGTGAGGCCTGACCAATAGCATTCACAAACACAACTTTTCATTCCATCTTACATTTGCTCTGTGCATGGCTGAATAGGTAAAAATGTCCTATTTCCAGACTTCTCTGCTAAACATTAAATTACACAAGAAACTAATTTTAACTTCCTATCTACCATGGAAGTACCTTAACTTTTATACCCCTCTTGGTGAGACATAAACATCAAGGTTAGACGGACAGGTGCCTCCACAATGTTATATACTTTTTTAAAATTTATTTTATTTGTGCCATTTGCATATCATCCAAATTCGCAACTTGTAATAAAAGTTTAAACACTCTAAAAGCGGACAAGAAATTAAATAAAGCAAAGCAACCAAAGTGCAAAACTAACTAAATAAAACCAACAGCCGCAGAAGCATACACCACCACAGCAGACCGTAACACGTTGAGTATCTTAAAATGATCCTGAAGCATCTGTGGAAATAAAAAGGTCTTTGCCAGGCAGCAAGAAGTTTCAGACCTTCTTGAGAGGTGAGCTTCTCTAAGGAAGGCATTCTAAAATTAGGGGACCACCATGGAAAAGACTCCTTACCCTGCCTGCCATATCTCATTCTGTGGGGCAAATAAGTATTCACACCCTGCCTTGCTCATAGCCTTGGTTTTAACTCTGAGCACACATACATCTGTGTGGTGTAGTGGTTAAGAGCGGTGGACTCGTAATCTGGTGAACTGGGTTCGTGTCTCTGCTCCTCCACATGCAGCTGCTGGGTGACCTTGGGCTAGTCATACTTCCCTGAAGTCTCTCAGCCTCACTCACCTCACAGAGTGCTTGTTGTGGGGGAGGAAGGGAAAAGAGATTGTGAGCCGCTTTGAGACTCCTTAGGGTAGTGATAAAGCAGGATATCAAATCCAAACTCCTCTTCTTCCTCCTCAGGAACTGGGCACATTCATTCACCACGCCCTACCTATGCCTGCCACCCAATGTCCTGAGTTCAGTTCCTGACACAAGATGGTGTCTGATTATTATTTATCAAATTTGTATGCCACCCTATACCTGCAGGTCTCAGGCTGGTTCACAAGATAAAATCACAGGTTAAAAACACAGAATACTTAATCAAAATAAAAACAAAAAACCCCACAATACTGTAACGCCCCACAACACCTTTTATAAATGCTTTATTCACGCATGCAATAATGCACTTTCTTTTTTGTGCGCTTCTTATTCAGCACCATAGGATATGTTAGTCATACTCAGAGTAGAATTTTCAAAGGGTATGAGTATGACTATCACTGGATATCACCCAAAGGGCTAAACCACAAAAAGTTCCCATCTAAACTTATGTTCTGTGAAATAAAAGGAGGGATTCTCAGTTTGATAGTGTGACTTGCATTCTTGGCTCGGCCACCTGGAGCTATTTGATCTGTAGGAATATTAGCACAATGTGTGTATGTGTGTGTTTGCCTAGCCTCTGCCAGTAGTACACTGCGGTGCCGATTATGTGCACAGATTTGCACAGAATACTTGTGTAGCTCAAAGAATTGTGCCTTAAGAAAGGATCTGAACTGGTTGGCATTTTTTGGTCATCAGAACCTTCCAGCTCTGTGATCCAATGATATTTTTGCCCTACAAAGATTTAAGCCTGCATGCGCTGAAATCTAAAAATGCCTCAAGCCTTAACTTGACTTACTTTTTTGTCCAACCTGTAGAGAAAAAACAACACCCTAAATTCAGTCAGACACAAAATTCAATTCAAACACAAAAGTAAACCACATAATTTTTCTCACTTAAGATCTCAATGATACCAAATGTCCATCCTCAATATGCAGAATTAAAACTTGACTAAGTTTAGAGGTTCTGACTCATCTTAAAATGAGTGCTTGCAGGATTTGCAAAACAACCATTCACACTCATGAAATGAAATTCTCCGATACAATTGCAGAAAATTTGCTTTTTTTGCCTGCATACCGATGGCAGTCAAAAGTTATTTCCATATGGAAAGCCAATATATTGAGGGAATGGATCCACACTAAGGAGACAATTTTCAACATTATGGTGTGTTCAAACATGCCAGTTCCACATTTAGAGTTTGGGAGGACTAAACCATATGAAAAACTGTACCACAAATATATTTTTCACAGGCTAACTTCTCCAAAATTTCCAAGAGTCGGTACTTAGTAGCTCATTGGTAGGGCATGCCCTTTGTGTGCAGAACGTCAAAAAGATCTTTCCCTGCAACTGCTGCCAGTCAGAGGGCTCTCTCCAGACATCTTTTTTATTGCACATCCATGATGATTTGTGCTCTGGGTGCTATCAGAGCCATCACACGCAATCCTGCTCTGCGCCTGGAAAAGTTTTGCGGCAGTCACACTGCTCCACTTCCAATCAGTACACATCCCATAACTTTTATCCACAACTGCCCCAGATTATTTTTTGCCCTAGCTTTTTTTACATGAAATGCGGGCCCCCCAACAGCAATTAAAATGGCAGAATTTATCTGCAACACTTCTCCAATATAAAACAAAACAAATCCACCACTCATGTGCTATTATTGTGTTCAGAACTTGTTGCAGAAAAAACCCCACAATCTAAGACCCAACTGGATGTGCCTGAAATAAAAAAATAATGTGCTAGAGGAACAAATGGTCTGAGTCAGGGTGCATCCAGATACGGGGAATATTGTGTTAACACTTTTGTCCTGTTTTCTAATGCTGTTCTCACAGCGCAAGTACCTGCTGCATTATGGAACTGTAGCTTTTTGAATGAATGGGGGGAGCCAGTGTGGTGTAGTGGTTAAGAGCAGTAGATTCGTAATCTGGGGAACCAGGTTCGCTTCCTTGCTCCTCCACATGCAGCTGCTGGGTGACCTTGGGCTAGTCACACTTCTCTGAAGTCTCTCAGCCCCACTCACCTCACAGAGTGTTTGTTGTGGGGGAGGAAGAGAAAGGAGAACGTTAGCCACTTTGAGACTCCTTCGGGTAGTGGTAAAGCGGGATATCAAATCCAAACTCTTCTTCTTCTCTTTGACATTCTGGCGTGTCGCGTGAAATTTCATTCACACCAATGAGCGCGATATGGCACACAGACAATCATTGGACCACATTGCCACTCCCCCACCCTTTTTGCACATGTGTGCTTCTGTTTCCCCATGATTCACACATGGAACAGTCAGGAAAGAACTCTGTTGCAGGTACACTACTCCGAATCTCATCACTTTACTTCTGCGATTTTGCGGCTTAAAGAGACTGCAAGCAGATTTTTTTTCTGGAATCAAGTGGCCACAAAATGAGCCCTCAACATGTGCTATATTCCATTAGTTTTTCAGAATGGATTTTTTTTTTGCGCTGTGTGAAAGCTCAACTGTAAAACAGAGACAAAACTTTAGGGAAACGCCAGGAACAAAATGTTTTGTGAATGCAGTCTCTCTCTGATGGCTTCCAACTGCATCCTTAACCCTTCAAGTCGTTGGGCTGCAGTAACTGAATCATTCCCAATTTTAAAAGGTGTATGTGCATTGAGTTTACTGTCCATGATTCCAAAACTACCATTTTAAGTACATATCAATAATTTCCCAAATTTTTCAATGATTCAGTAACCCAATGGACAAAAGGTGGCCTGAGGCCAGGCTTATAACATGACTTGAAGGCATCGCAAAGAATCAAGAACACGAGGAAAGAAAATTGGACCATCTTAAGTATGATCAAGCAACATTTTCCACATTAGATTTGTCCATGAGAGGTTTCCCTTTGACAGTCCATTTGGACTCAGTTACAGACCACACAGAAGTTGTTTTTGAAAGAATTCTCCCTTTCTGTTCAAAAGGGCCAGCCCAACCATAAGGCAGAGTGAGGCAGCCCCCTCAGGCAGCAGATTTTAGGTGTCATGAAAAGGGAAAGAAATTCTTAGCTATTTCATTTATTATTGTGGTTTTCTTACTACCAGGTAGGGAGAGAGACACTTGTAGGATTTTCAGATGCCAAAAATAATTTGACTGATCTCAGGTATGCTTCACCTTGACTCAGAGTCTGGGGGCACGGATCAGGGTGCTCTAGCTTAAGAGGCAAAATATATTGGGTCTCTTGACCTCTTACTACCTCATGCTTTTCCTTCTGTTTAGGCATCTACAAAACCTTCAGTTCACCTTATTCAAACTCGTTTGGCATGCCTTGAAATTCCTCAGACGTTTCGCCCGGATAAGAACCCCTAAACTGACTCTGAATTTCACTGCCTAGGAAATGTTGCTGCAAAGTCTCCATCTATCCCTCGGAGGGTTACTGTCGTTGCCTTTGAAATGATCTGACCCCTTTCATCTTGAACACTATTTTCCTTTTATATACATACATATACCACCCCCCCAGGCCCCTAAAATACAATAGGGAGGCACTCCTATAATGACCGGCTGGTATCTGGTAGGAAACAATGGGGCGGTGGGGGGGGGGGGAGAGAGAGAAAGAGCGCAAAGCCATCCATCAAAAACAGGCACATCCTAGGCCTCCCTCCTGCCCAGCTCATCCAACTCTCAAGTTACAGCTTTACACGGTAAGTCTAAATAATATTCAAAATGATAAATGGTGCCACAAGCCCGATATCCATCATCAATCTTTTTTTAAGGAACATCCATCTTCAACAATGCATGTTTGAATCATGTGAAACTGAGAGCCCCTATATTCATTTACACAACCCCCAGCCAGCAAGCTGGGGCCCTCTGAATGATACCTGTCAGCCAGCTCCCTCCTCCCCTATATAAGGAAATCCACATATGGGGACGAAGGGGTGGGCGAGTGGGGGGGGGTGTACTTCAACAACAGGGTTTAGCAGGTAGATACAGATGCTGGTTTTGGATCTTGCAAAGCACACACCCGCTGAACTGTTTTAACAATCTCCCCCAAAATAGCAGCGCTGCTGTGAAGGGAAACAGACAGCATCACACACACACACCCAAAAAACACACACCATTCTTGTGCTGTTTCCAAACCTCCCCCCCCCCCCATGAAAACACACACACACCCCTTCCCTGCTGTTTGGCAGGCCCCATTTGATAAATGACACCTGTCATTCTGTCACGAGGGAAGGGTGGGTCAGTGATATATGGCTCTGCTGAAAAGGAAATCGACTGTTTGGCACAGCGCAGCCATTCTCCACCAGGATTTCGTTTTCTGAACTCTAAAATGAAATCTACGATGTTTCAAGTTGTTCGGTTAGGGGGAAACTGACAGGAGGCCCAAGGAGTTTGTTGGGTTCCCTCTCCCATCCCATCCCCTCCTCTCCTTCCTTCCCTCCCTCCTGCTTTGTTTTATATTTCATCCTCCCTGTGCCCTAGAGATTTTTTCCCTCTTTTTTAAAAAAGCCCCCCAAAAATGCTCTGATTGACTGCAAGCTTCCCCCCACCCCACCCAAAAACAACAACTGATGGAAAGAGAGAGAGGAGAACACATATCTATCAAAGCCCTCAACAGTTAAGATCCATGCCTTTTTTTGAAGAAAAAAAATGTTATATGCAATTTTCATTTATTATTAGAGGGCACGAGAGAGAGAGAGAGAGAGAAAGGGAGGGATGAAACAGAGGCCACGAGCTTTGCCTGGCACACACACAAAAAAGCAAGATAAAAATTAGCATGTTTGAAGTAATTGTCCCACAGCTTGACACCGGCATAGTAAATTTTAAAGGGGAAAAAATGTGTCAGGCAGACGTGAGAGTTTCTCCCCCCCAACCCTCCCCCTTCGTCCCTCCCCCCTCCCCTCCCCCCTTTCATTAGCTCACTGGCAGGGTGGCACTTCTGAACCTCATTACTGCAAGAGGATTTATGAAGCTGAACCCAATGGCAAAGAAGAGGCATCTGTCAATAATTGTAGGGAGCTGCACTCACAGCTTTGAAATCTCATTAAGTATGCAGTTATCAGGCATAAAGATCAAAAACATTACTCAACTCCGACAGAATCTTATGGAGGAACATTAATTAGCAACAGGCCCACAGTCATATATATATATATATATATATATATATATATATATATATTTGTAGGCTTCCCCCTCACACCTGCCCAACCCACAACCCCAAAAAGAAACACACAAACCCTCCCTCCTGGAAATAAAAAATTTTTTAAAAAATCCCAGCATCTGAGACTGATCAAGTACATGAAACGAGAGAGAGAGAGAAGGAAAAAAATCCAGTTGAGACAGTCTTGGCGGTGAAAAGAGAAAAGGAAGAAGCTGTCAAAAGTTGAGAAGGATGTCAGTGCTGGCCCTGATTACAAGGGCCTCTGCAGTTCCCAGGGCCTTTTTATTATCCCTGCCATCAAAAACAGACTCCATGTCACAGATGGGTGACTGATGGCTGCCACTCTCAGGCGCGTTCGGGAGACCCCCGCTGAGATCTGGCCCTCCAGCAACAGAGGTTGACCTAGCAGGAAAGGGGCTTGCAGGCGCAGAGCCCAGTCCCAGAGATACTTCAGAAAAAAGGAGGAGAAGACGCTCCCCTGTTCCGTTCTGCTCTCGACTGACAACAATTCACTAAGAGGGTGGTTTGGGTTTTGTTTGTTCAGCTTACAGAAGTTAAAATCTCCGCTCTGTCCTCCCTCCGTCAACAAAAGGACTCATTTTGCAATATTGAAAAATGGAAAGGCAAGGAAGGAGAGTCCTTTTTTTAAAAAAAAAAAAATCTCTTGCCATACACACAGACGCAAATTTGGGTCTAATTTCCTCTGCACCTCCTATCAGAGGCACTCTTTGCACACTTGACCTCTCAGAAAACACAAGGCAGTAAAATATAAATTGAGGATGAAACCTACAAAGTCGCAGTTGAGGGTGGATCGTAAAATCAAGTGACCTTTGCAGCATTAAGCATAGTGTGCAGCTCATTAAGAGAGATGGTCTTATTAAACATCTTTCTTTCAGAAACTAGGATCTCTGTGCACACCCTGCCCTATTAGCCATCTTTGTTTCCACTTCCTGCTTGTGTACAACTATTTTTCAAAGGCATAATTCACCACTATTCATTAAAGAGAGAGAGAGAGAAAGGAAGTTAAAAATAAGGGATGGAGAAACATATTCTGTCTCTGTTTTTTCCCCCTTTTGGAAATGATGCAATCATTTTTTTCCCTCTCTCTCTTCCTCTTTCTCTCTCTCTAGTTATATATCCAGTTCTCATCTCTCATGTTTCCCAGAATTCCTCATTACAAGAGAAGGCGCATGTGATACAATTTCCGCATCGTTTACAACTGGGTTACAACAGCATGTACAGTTTTGCCTCTTCATTCAGGAGATATATGCTAATATTGTTGTGTCTTATATGCTGCCAAGGAACAACTGAGTTGGCTGATCTTTTGAACTGAGTGATAATATTCATGTAAAAGTGGGCTCTGGCCACCGCAGAAAAACTTTTTCATGTTTTCTAGAATTCCCTTGTCGGAGGGAAGGAAATGTAAAATTAAAAGGTCACCTTTGCCTAAGAAAGGAAAAATTAAAGTGCAAAGCAAAATAAGGACCAATGTGGTTGCTTTGTGTATAGTTGTGTATGTATGTTAAGCCCTTGACTCAAAAGCGTTACAATAAGGTGTTTATATTTTTTCATATGCTTACCATATTACTCTTATTATGTGTAGCATCAAAGTGATTATAGCAATTACATCTAACAGAATTAATTATAGAACATCCCATCATTCCGAGATACATAATGCATTAGAGGTAAGAAGAAAACATCTCGACTCTGCTAACTAATGTTCGAATCAATTTCCCAAGGCATCAATGCATGACTAAAGTCTAAATTGTAGGAAGAGGAAGAGAAAGACAAGAGTTACTAAAAAATGTAAACTGCAAAGATGAGCACAGGTGTATGTGTGTGTGTTTAAACCAAGAGGATGCTCTGCTTGATGCTGTGCTAAGAGCAAGACCAAAGTGGTATAATCGATTTTAAAAAAACCACAATAATACACAAACACATACAAAATTAAAAGCTAACCAGCCTGCCCATCAAATGTGTTAGCAGATCCAGACAAGAGTGTTTGGGTGAAAGAGTTACAACTCTTTGTGTATGCAAAATAAATTCACTCAAAGCTTCATTAATATTAATTTAAATTCAGAACCCATTTACATTAAATTGTTCATTAAAAAATGGCCTGTTTCATGCAACCTGCATCCTACAAAGAACACAGAAGACCCAGGGAGAGAGAGAGAGAGAGATAGAGAGAGAGAGAGAGAGAGAGAGGGCCCAGCTTAATGATGGAAATGCATATCGAAAGAAAAACGAACACCAGAAATGTGTGGTGCTAGGCCAGAATTTGGCCATCACTTCGTACATTATGTTACATCTCTTCGGAGCAGGATTCTGCAGCTGCCCTTTTGACCTCTTGATTTGTGCTATAAGCTTGTTAAAAAAAGAAGCTTTTATTTGAGGGCCAACATGGATCAGCAAAACACACACACACACACACACACACACACACACACACAAATTAGGCCCTTACAGCAAATAACTTTTAAAATGACAGCCACCACCACAACCTTAGTATTATTGCAAGAACGGTCAAGTTCAGTTGTATTTTCACTGGCTGGTTTAAAATGAAGAAGTGTGTTGGTGGCATTCTGGAATGAGGAAAGGTGCTTCCTCCCTATGGTAGAATCTGCCAGAATTGCTGCAGTGGAGAACTCACCTGTATTCTAAAGACTTTCTTGTAAGCGAAGGAAAAAGAACTCTGATTAATTGGAATGTAACCTCGCAATATGAAATAATAAATTATTCTTCAAGTTCATTATTTGGGTAAAGCCACCCCTCCCCTTGTAACGAAGCTAATGAGATGGTGTATAATGCTGGCGAGCGTTCAGGATCCCTTTGATGAAGTCTCTGCTCCCCCCCCCCCCTTAAGGACATACGACTCTACACGGCTGATGAATTCTTCCCATCTCCAATGAACTTAAAGCATCTTTCGTTGGCAAAATTATGGGTAGCTAAACACATCCTTGCATACATATATATAAATATTCCTTTCCTTTTTAGATAGCAACTTTACTGGCAATATATTCTATGCTGTCCTTCAAAATAATCTTATATAAGGGGGGGGGGTTAAGTCTTCTCTTTGAAGAGAATATCTCTCCTTCCTTTCTTTCTTTCTTTCTTTCTTTCTTTCTTTCTTTCTTTCTTTCTTTCTTTCTTTTACTTTGTTTTCAATGCAAATATACTCAAACAAAAAAGCCTAACCACAACGATTCCAGTCTCCACCCCTGTATGTAAGTGAAACACACAAAAATTCACTTGTTTAGTGGGATTCTGGAAATTAATTTAATGACTCTGCAAATGCTGAAAAACTAGAATTAATCTGTCTGGATAAAAAAGGGCTTACAGACATTTAAATGCATGTATCGGGACACTTTATCAACCTAACATAAAATTGTCATCTTATCTTATTATATGACTATTTTATGCATGTGTCAAAAAATTTAAAAATGAATGCCTGTCTATTCAGTCTAATTACAACTGCATATTATCTGTCTGGATGTACCAGTCCATATCATTGTTATTAAATACAATACATTGTATTCACCTTTCAGGGTTTTTCTTTCTTTCTTTCTTTTTTTAAAAAAAGAAAACTCTAATCCTTCAACAGAGAAAACCCCAATTTGGGGTGCAACAGAATAATGGAAAGAATTCAAAGCCTTGAATACCTGGAAGTGGGTGGTCCTGAACATGATACTAAATGGTTTTGTAAATAATGTAAGGTTTAAGTCTGTTGCTTTATAGCGCACTGTTAGAGCGCAAATATACACCTACTTTCCTGAATAACGCTGAGGCATTTTGGTTTGCTTGTTATTTTATTTTTTGTTTTGAAAGACAGTGGGTCTAATATTAAGAATTTGCAAATGGAATCGCTGTAGCTAGGATTGTCTTCAGACTGGCCAAAACAACGGGTTAAAATATGGATTGCTGCACAGTTTTGAGGGGATGCTTGCAAGGTTTATGTAAAAAGCTACAGGGCAGACTCTCTCCCTCTCTCCCACCCCCTCTCTCTCAATGGCAAATAAATTTATTTTTATTCGCACTTTCACTGTTCCATATGCATGCATCTAAGTGTGCAGCTTGTACCCTTCACAATTTCCTTTGCACTTTCCTCTGAAGATGCTCTCGGTCGTGCGCTCTCTTCCCCTCTCTTTCCTTTAATGCATTCACATTCACACTGATCCTGAAAACAACCTAGACCAAAAAAAAAAAGGCACCAAAAATAATCCTCCTAACACCCCCCCCAAGCTAGACCGCATTCCCCATAACCCTGTAGCAGTCACAATTCATTCTAATCACTTTACAAAACAATCTTTACTATAAAAAAGGGGGGAAATGCAGACTTGTGAGCCAATTTAAGAAATAACTGCTGATACATCAGTTATTGACTATTTCACTCCAGCTCATCATAGTGCTCAAGGCAAAATGAAGAACAAAATGACAACATCAACTGCACGCAATAAACTGTGGCCCAGGAGACTACTGAAGGGCTAATTGACAGCTGTCAAGCTAATGGGAGCAGTGGCAGCTGATTCTAGAAAATTCCCTTTCCCAACAAGCCATTCAGTGGAATCAGGACTTCCTTCCTTTTTCAAACGTTTACGCTCCACTCTCTCCCTCACCTCCTTTTGCTCATTGTTTCCCACACTTTTAAATTTTATTTTGAGGGGTAAGGGGCTGCAAAGGACAACCTTAACCATAACTAATCATTTTGTCAGCTAAGAAGACTCTGTGCCCCACAGAGAAATATGTGGCAGGTTTGTAAGCAAAGGAAAGTCCCAGAGGCTGAGGCTGGAGGGACTCAGGAAGAGAGTTTACTTTATCACAGCATGCAGTTCTACACACACACACACACACACACACACACACTACTTGTGGTGTACAAACTTTTTTTAGGGGTTACTCTCAACTTCCTGAACTCATATTCCCAAATTCTGGATTTCACCTGAAGACCTAAGCATTATAATTCAGCCTGTATGGCAGATTATCTCCTACCGCCACCAAGGCTATAAGAACTTGTAAATTTCACTGCGATCTCTGATAACCAAACAGGTTTCCATGGGAGAGAAGTAAAATAAAATCCATCTATTTCTATTTGTACATTTTCCTGCTGACTTAAGTCCTTTTCAGGAGCAGAAGTCAATTTAAGGATTTTAATAGAACTACATGTACAGTTGTGGAAAATAAAGCATATTTTGCAGAGCTGATGGTGGAATCCACATAGCACTGAAACCCATGACATAATTCCCATTGGTGTTAAGTATTCTGGATCACACCTGAAGCCTTTGCTGTAATTTTTCCAGGCCTCAGATCAGATTTGCTCTGCCTTATTGTTTGAAGGTGGGGTGGCAACATCCTCAGGGTGCAAAGCGAGAAATCTCTAATTCCACCATAACAACACCAAGGTGAGCTGCATCTTTAACCACACAGCCCTATACATGCCTACTCAGAAACAAGCCCCACTGAGTTCAATGTGTATTATAATGGCACTCTGAAAGCAGTTCTAGGGGACCTTTACAATTCCCAGCCATCATGTCCAACCCCACCTGAAAAAGGAAACAGCAATAATCTTTTCTCAATCATTGAAAGAGGAAGATTTTATTTTTTAAAAGCAATATATGGAAGCTTGTAAATCCAAGTGAGATAATTATGGCTTGCATGAACTAGAATGGCCTCTGTTAAATGCAGAATCTCCACACTTTCCTAATCAGCAATAAATGCTGTTCCCCTTCTCAGCACACACCATTTTCCAACTTAAATGATGAAAACTCGGGGGGAGGGAGAATGCTATCCAAATAAAACCTTTTGGTACCTCTTAGAAACCCTGTTCAGTGCCTCCATCCCCTCTCCTCTCATCCACCCTACTCAGCCCAAGTCCTAAAGTAAACAAACAGACACCATCATTTTTACAGATTTCTCTGATTCTTCAAGACAGCTTTAGTCTTCTCCCTTGTGGTGTTCACACTTGGGCTAGACATGAAGGATTTGCGCACCTGTCTGCAATACCTGCTGCAAGCTCTCTCTACGCTGCCGAGAGTCCTTTGTTGTTGTTATTCAACTCCAGACCATTACGAGGGCCCTAATTCCTATGACATGATTATCCAGGTACCAAAGCCCATTTGTCACCTGCAGCAGAAAATTGAGTTAATGCACAACTAAAGGCAACCAGGACTGTGTAATATCAACTTGATTACATCAAACTAGCTCCAAACCTAATTCCGCTGGATGACACTGCGTGGAGCTTGTCATCTCCAATCATTAAAGCTGTCAGGAATCCATCAGGTTTACAGCTAATTAGGTGAACACTAATGAAGCTGGCAAAACAACTTTTCTTTTTTTATGGCTGAGCGGACCTTTCAGTTTGGAGGGGGATTTTTTTTTTCCTAGAGTATTCTCAAGGTTGCTGGAGACTGGATTTCCTGAGTGACGAATCAAGGGATATGTAATGTGTATGTCTCCTCTCTCCAACACACATACTCTCCCTCTACCCCCCCCCCCCTGTTTTTCCTCCTCTTTGCTCTATCAGTACAAAGCAATAAATTTGTCATCGCTCTGAGTATACCACAAAAGCAGTCACGGACCTTACAAGTTGCAGCTGTTAAATAAAAAAGAAAAGAAAACATTTTTTAAAAAAAACTTTCTGCTGCATCAAATGGTTTTTAAAATAATAATAATAATAATAATAATAATAATAATAATAATCTCCTCAGCTATTTTTTCCTATACCAACAGCATAGTTTTGTTCCACTTGCCTTAAATAAGCAGATCTCATTCATTCTCTACCCCCACTCCCTATATCCATTAGCCAAAGGCATTTTGATAAAGTAAAGGCAAGGCAAGTGTATGAGAAAGAATGAAAGCATTCACTCTGCCAACTTCTGATTGACCATTAAGCTATTGATAAATGTGCCTGTCAGGAGAGAGACAATTAAATCAAATATGAAACAAAGTCATTTTGACGGGTCATTTTGATAGAGCAAATCCATTCTTCCATCTCCTATTAGTCCCGAATTCCCTTTTTTTTTTTTTTTTGTTAATGAATATTTCTTAAATAACCTGCTACTTTACATTGAAAAGCTCTTTTCTTTCTTTTCATTAAAAAAAATGCTGCTATATTAGTTTTCCTTTTTATTTTATTTTTTTAAAGTGATTTAAATGCTTCAGCCAAAGGTGCTCAGCTTTATTCAAAATCTGTACTGTTGTTAGCTAGGAGAGATTTCACTTTTGCTCAGTGCAGCACACATCGTAAGTTGTTTGTGAGAACTGCATATATATAAAGAAGAAAGCATGCCTCAAAATATAAAGATTCAGCAGAAAGCACAGCCCAACCCCAATTCCAGCAGAGGTCTGGAGACTTTCCTTTCCTGAACACTGCAAGTTCAAAACTTGGTTTAGCCCTCAGGAACAGGCCTGAACCTCCTGGAAGATATTTCCTTTCCAGTGAAATTAATCATTGTTAGGGGAAACTTCTGAATTCACCTTTCAAGCATTTCTTCACATTCATCTGAAAGGCAAAAGACGGGATAGGTGCCTACGTCATTGTGTTTGTTACAAACAGAAACTTTTCCTTAACTTCCCAGCTCCTGAGCAAAGTGCTAAAGTGTTGCAAGGAGGAAACAAAGAGTTTCTTCCTATCACAACTTCAAGAAAGGAAGGCGATCGGTGAGGCATGCTTTGGGGAAAATGGATATGTAGGAATGAAGTTAAGATGCATGTATGCCATGCATGATGATTCATTTCGAGAAAAATCAAACTTGTCGCCCATGAGAGCCAGCCAGCCTGCCAGCCTGCCTGCCTGGTTATCTTGTAGACCATGCCATTTCTGAGAAGATGCTGTTGAGAAGTATACCTTCCTTCTCATTGCCACAAGAAATGATAAACTCCCTGATTAAACATAGTACGACAACCAAATCAAAAGGCATTCCAGCATACCTTGCATATATGTCTACTTCCTAAAGATTACAAGAACTTCATCTCCCACACTTCAATATCCACGGAATACTGATCCTCTCCCCTTCAGTACTCTGCAAGGAGGGGATCTTCCAGTGCAAGAAGATCTCCCCTAATCAACTCTCTCCGTCCATGCCACCCCAACTAAAGCAAACCAGAAACCCTGAAAGTTACACTGGCAGAGCTGACAGGCCACGTGTGTGATGTCATACAGAGTCTGGCGTTACCATGGCAAGTGATTTATTGAGGTTTATTGGGAATGAATAGATCAAAGGCAACTGGATGACAGGCAATCAATCAGCCATCAAATCAAGGATGGCAACAGGCCAAGGAAACTCTGCTCCAGACCCAGATCTCCACCCACCCCTTGCCTTAAAAAGGGCTGCAAAAATAAAAGGTAAGGGGTTTGGTGTTTGGTGTTTTGTTTTTAAAAGGAAGGCATGGAGGAAGGAAGAAGTATTTGTTTTGCAAACCTGGCCTTTCCACACACAAAAATATCCGGTTTGCAAATTTAACAAGAGCTAGCACTGCTGATGATAAATAAAGTGGACCAGGTTTTTTTTTTTAAAAAAAAAAAAAAGTTAAAAGGGAAAAGTATATGGATATCCTAAAAAACAAACTCTGGAAAGTGTAAAAAGGAATGTAAAAAAAGATTCTTGACAACCATCTAACAATATCCAGAACCGTTTTTCCTCTTTTTTTCCTTTGCTCTGGTTTCCTGTGCAGCTTAGTCTTATAAATTAGAAATCAATAGCGTGGAGGGTGTCAAAGGAAGTGCCCATTCTGAAAGAAGAGGGTGTCTGGTGGTGATGCCCCCCTCTCTCGGTGTCACCCCCAAAGGCAAAGAAAGAAAGTTGGGTGAAGGAATTTTATCCACATGGTCCTAAGCGTCTCTCTGTGCCGCCTGCCAAACCACCTTCTCTGGCACAAGAAACCATAAATAAATAACATTTGGGGTGAAAAACTGGGAGAGGGAACCAGGAAGGCGGTGGGGAAGCCAAAGAGGACCCCAACGGCCCTCTTTGTACAAGTCACCCAGATGATGCACAGTTCAGGAAAGTGCCCCAAAGCTCCGGAATCCAAGGGTCTCAGCCCCAATAAAATCAAAAGTAAGGCGCTGAGAGGGTGGCTATTCCCACCAACCAACCCCCCACAACCCCACCCTGCTTCCTAAATCGTGGGAGAGAGAAGGAGCGAAAGAGAGGCTGGCTAACCAGCGGTCAAGAGAGGAGCGGGGTGCAGGGCGGAATCTAACCTGGAGTGGCAGATTCTGGGAAGAGAGGATGTGGGGGGAGCGCCTGGCTCGTACCTGCTGCGCGCCGGGGCGCTTGCTGTTTCCTCCTCGGCATGTTGCAAGGCAGCGTCCGCTGGCAGCGCCCGGAGGAGGCGGCGGCGGCGGCGAGGAGGTGGCGGAGGAGGTGGCCGGCTGGGGGCTGGGGGCGAACAGAGTTGCTTCAGCCTCCCTCGATCCTGGTCGGAGGAGAGAGCCGCTCCAGGCTGGGCTGCCGCTGCCGCTGCGAGCTTTTTGTTGTTGTTGCTGCCGCCTCTGCTGCCGCTGCTGGGCATGCACGATGTGCAAGAGGAGGAGGAGGAGGAGGAGGAGGAGAAAGAGGAGGCGGAGGCAGGAGCAGCAGCCGGAGAAGGGAGCGCAAAGGACAGCCCTGCTGCTCGCGGGAAGGAGGGAGGGAAGGAGCGAAGGAGGGGGACTTTGACAGATCGCCCCGCAGCAAGGAGCGCAAGGACTGGGGCCAGCCCTGTGGAGGCGCCCTCTGGGGGAGTCCTTCCGAGGGGAGCCACCCCCAGCCCGGCCCGACGGCAGCGGCGGCGCCTCCTTCTCCTCCTCCTCCGGTCTTCTTCGGGGAGCTCACGGCATCAAGCGCCCTCCGGGGTTCCTGCTGGAGCGGCCGGCCGGCTCTTGGAAGCGCCGCGCGCAGCCTTGCAGTTCTCCAGCCCGGCGCTCCGACGGCTCGGCGAGCGGCGCTCGGAGGGAGCGGCGGCTTCTTCGGCTTCGGCGGAGGCAACAGGCAAAGCTTGAAGGGAAAAAGAGATGATCGCAGCGTGACTCCAACTAGTCGCCGGGGAGAGGGAGAGGGAGGGAGAGGGGGGCGCCCATCACCGTTGCCGCCGAAGCTGCCGCTGCCGCCTTAACTCTTTGCGCCTCGCGCGGCAGCCGCCCAGCAACGCAGCAAGGGCCACGCGCGAAAGAAGAGCGCTCTGGAGTGGGGAGGGGGGGAGGCAGGAGGAGAGGGGATTCCCCCTCCCCAGATGGCAGCCGGGAGGAGGGGGAGGGGACAAGGAGGGACGGGGGGAGGATCCCTCCTCCTCCTCCTCCTCCTCCAACCCGTCCCCTCCCCGCTCAATTCAATCCGCAGCCTCGACGGCGCCCATCAGCTTAGAGCGAGTGATCTCGAGGGTGCCCGGTCTGCAGCAGAGCGGGCAGGGGGTTGTCTCAGATGCCAAGCTGCCCAAGGAAAGCAGGGGAGGAGCATGCCTCTTCCCCAACCCAACTGGTGGGCCGTCCTTCTTTCCTCTCCCCCCCCCCACTTCGCCCCAGCCACCACGCGTGAGAGTTCTGAAAGCCACCTTTTGGGTATCCCATGGAAGTCCCTGCCCGGAGCCTGAACCCCCAGGAGTGGCCGAGGAGGAGAGGAAGAGCGGCTCCTCGTCCCGTCCCACAGGTGAGACTCACCTTTCCACGCACACACTGTGCTCGGGCTGCATCTCCTAGGTTTCCACCCACCTCCACAACCAGAGGGAACCCCCAGGACAGCATTGGCAGGACCCCCTGTCCCCCCCCAGACAGACCTCTTTTGGGGAGCAGGAAAAATACCTGAGACTTCTCGTCCCATCACCCGACAGGAGTTTGGGGGTCCCACCTCGGTTGGGCTCTCCGATCCCGCTCCTATTGCAAAGCCCTGAGGTCTGGAGGGAATCTCAGATCTAGGCCAATGGGACAAAGATGGGGATACCGCCCCCCCCAATATCCTAAACGCCCTCTCAGCCCCCGTCTAAACCTCTCCAAGGCATACTTTGGGTCTCCCCTTATCCCACCTGGATCAATTAACTTGGAGAGAAAGCCCATCTCGTGAGCTTCAAAGACCACCCACCCAAAGTCCAGATCCCTTCCAAAGATCCCCAGGGGGGATTCCTGGAAAGCTCCCATTTCTTGACCTCTCCTCCCTATGTTGCTCCAGGGTCCCAATCCCTCCCTTTCTCAGACAACTCCCTCGAAAGAATCCCCCTTAAACAAAAACCCCGTGGCTTAGAGATCCTTCTCTCTTTTTCTCCAAAAGGGAGAAATAAGAAATCCATCATCTTCCTTCCTCTCCAGCTCGGAGGAGAATTCCTCCAGCAAAGTAAAGTCTGGGAAGTGCGTGGAAGGCATGCGGATGGGGGTGGCTGGCAGGCGGGGGGGGGGGTTGGCTGGGAAGGGGTGAGCCAGAGTTCTTCCAGGCAGCCTCTCCCGCCTGCCCACCCCTCCTGAAACGCGGCCGCCCTCCGGTCATCCAGGCCTTGACAGCAGATCTGTCAAGGGAGGCCAGCGGGAGAGGAAGGGAGAAGGTCTGCCCAGCTCTGCTATCAGGGGTGCTTCCTGCTCCCTTCCCTTTCAACCACCGCCAGGCGCCTCTAAACTCCCCCCCCCATTCAGTGGCAGCACCAGGGCGGGGGATTCGGGGGGGGGAGAGAGAGAGCACAGAAGGGACAAAGTATTTTTCTAGGCTGGAGGACTGTGTTCCGCATGCCAAAATCTCTGGAAGTATTATTATTATTATTATTATTATTAATTAGCAGCATAGGTCAACCGCAGGAGTCCAGCAACAGAGGTGCAAACTCCTTGTTAGGGGGTGCAAGCCCCTTTGAAACTTGACCCTGCTGCTTTGATCAGGGGTCCCGGGACTTAGGATTCGTGAATCCACCAACGTAAAGGAAGGGGTTTTTGACGGGTGGGGGGGGAGGAGAGAGACATTGACTTGGGAAGAAGTTCCGCCGGAGTCGGTGGTACTTGCATCCGAATACGCATAAGTAGGAGCTGGGTTGCACGTGCAACTCTCCCCTGCCCCACAACAAAACACTCCACCCAGGACCCAGTATTAAAAAGGAAAGGAAAGAAGCAGCAGCGCCCCTCCAATCGCTTCTCTCTCTGGGGCCCACAGCATTCATGCGCCCCTCCGGGATTCACGCCCCCCTCTAGCATTGCTGCTTCCCTGACTTACCAGCCTTCCTTGCTGGGTGCTTTTTCAGGCTCCTGCAAGCATATATCCAAGGTTTCCGGCTTGCAATCGTCTTTCTTGCTGCAGAGGGGATCCACTTTAGGAGCTCTCCCCCCCTCCCGCCCCCCCCTCTCCTCTTCCTGCCTTCCTTCACGTCTCTGTCCTCATCTTTGCAAAGGTCCCCCAGGAAATCTTTGCAAACAGTACGGGGAAGGGAAGGAGAAAAAAATAATAATAACAATAAAGACCAGCTAAGCTTGGTCCATTGCAAAAAGAAACAAGCCTCCCAGATTGTCTTCTTCACCACACATCACACCACGTACTTCTTAAAATTTTTATTTTATTTTTTTAAAGAGGCTCTTTCAGTCGCTCGCTCGCTCCCACCCCGCCTTGCAAGTCCAAGTTCATTGGTGGGGGAAAGAGATCTAGGAGGGTGGGTTTTTTTAAAAAAAAAAAAAGAAAAAAAAGAAAGAAAAAGAAATCCCTTGCCAAAAGAGCGCTTGGCGAATCGATGCGCTGCGCGTTCGATTGGGTGTTCCTGGCTTGCAATAGGGTACGGCAGAGGGAATGGAAGGGAGGGAGGAGGGAAGAGGGGGAGCCAGAGAAGAGAGGATGGACTCTTAACTGCGTTTCAAGTGCTTTATGAACATGGATCAGAAGGTAGAGCCAAGCACCTTCTCGACTGCCAATTGCACCCCCCTCCCCCTTTCTCTTTCTCTCTCTCTTCCTCCCCGCTCTCTTTTCTTTGTGTGGCTGAGAGATATTTAATAACAGCTCCCTGCAATGCCCGGGCAAGCGCCTGGAGACCCAGATCCTTTTGCTTAAGCGCAGCAAACATCAGTAGCAAAGAATTTTCCTCTCTTAAAAAAATAATGATGATGATGATAACAATTTGTGTGTAATCTCGTGCTTTTTTGAGTGGGGGGGAGAGTGTGATCTCACTTTTTCACAGTAAGGGTTTTTTTTATAAAAAAATTAAGAAACACACTGCAGTCTGTCCTAGTCTTTGAAGATTTTGGGATGCCTCCCAAGACCCTCACTCGGTACAGATGTTTTCAGATGTTGGGTTTTGCTGTGCGGGGGAAGGGATTAAGTACTTTCTCTCTCTTCTTTTTTTGCATTGAAGAGTAGCAGGGGGAGGGAAAAATATGCTGTTGTTGGATGGTTTCCTCTTTTTTTTAACAAAGGGAGGGGTGAGAGAGACGGTCCCTTAGGATGAGACACACACATGCACAAACAGAGAGAGAGCAAAAGTATTTTGCAGTCCTCGGGAAATTGCCACCGCCAGCGTGGGAGAATGTTAATTCTCTTGCCTAGGAGCAGAAGAGGGTGAGTTGTCTTGTCCAGGGTCGCTGGGCTCCATTGCATTGGCGTCGGTTTGCTGTTGCAGGATCCAGGATCTGGACACCGCCAGAGGCGATAAGGGCTTGCTTAGCAAACCCTTAGCCTACCCCTAATAATAATAATAATAATAATAATAATAACAACAACAATAGAAGAAGAAACATTTCCTCTCTGACTTTGCTGGTGGGTTGGTGGCGGGTTGTTTGTACCAGGAATGAGTGAGTTTTCTATTTTATTTCCGCGCAATCCCGATGCTCCGAGTTCCCTCTGCTTCTCTGGCTTTGCATGCCGTTAGATCCGCCCCAACATCTGTCCATCTCCCCCATTGGCGCATCCATCAGTGTCACCCGGGATGCGCGCGTTGCAACTGCAAGCGCCGGGCAGGCGGAACGGGAGGCTGGGAGATTCCGCACCAATAACTCACGCGCGCGGGGCAACTTAAGCAGGGAAGAAGGGGTCAGCTTGCCTTTGCAGCAATCATGAGCGCAAAGTCTTGAAGCGGCGGCGGAGGGGAGAGCAGAGAGACAGAGACCCAACAAACTCCGGAGAAATGGAGCAGCTTTCCAAAATGCATGCTTGTCAAACCGCGTAAAAGCGCACGGGGTTTGTGTGACCAGCTACAGAGAGCTGCACACGATTCTAAAGGGAAGAATGCGCGGGTGTCCAAAGCAAGGCGTGCGCGCAATTGAGACTGTTATTATTGAGAGTTTTTGCTCAGCGTGAGAATCGCTCGTGGTTATTAGGGTTGTGTGTGTGTGTGTGTGTGTGTGTGTGTGTGTGCGTGTTTGTGGGGTTTTTTGCCCCAAAGGAGCGGGGGTACACTAGGCGATATCTGAGTTAGACAAGATGTAACTGAAAGCCATGAGGTCCGGACAGAGATAGAGGCCTGTTTTGCAACCCGAACGGGAGAGATCCTTTAACTTTTTGCACCGAAGCAAAACTTTCCTTTTTCTTCCAGGCCACAGTGCTTTAGAACTAGAAGAACGGCCAGCTAATAGCAGTTTTATTGGCCAGGAAGGGAGGCGGTTTTGCGTGCAAATGAGTAGTAAGTCAGAATTTTAAACCGGGGGGTGGGGAGGGAAAGGACCTCCTTCTGACCTCGCTCCCCGCTCCCGCCCCCGCCACAAATAATGTGGATCCTTCTCTTCATTGGCTTCACTTCCCCTTGAGCTGAGTGTCGCATCAGGAACCCCTGGTGTGTCTGAAGGACCACAAGAACCCAACACAAACTTGTGACCCCCACCCCAACCAATCTACTCCTCATTCTCTAATCCTGTTCTTCTTGCATCCTGACGATGCCATGGACCACTTTTCTATTAAACAGTGGTCCAGAATTGGATGGATGGAAAGAGGCAGAGGAGTTTGGACAGGAAGCGAAGGGCACTACAAGTCGTCTAGCCCTACACACACACACACACACACACACACACACACACACATTTCCCCTGCAGCTATTAAATTAGAAAGATCTGCATTTTAGTAAGGCAGGCCCAGTGAAACTGCTTCTTTTTTAATTAGTCAAATACCTGCAAAATGGCATAGAATTTTCAGGGAGGGGATATTCCCCGCCCCCTCCAGCCAGGGTGCTAGGTGTAAAGAGAAAAAAAGAGAGAAAACCTTGATCTTCCTCCCCCACGTATCAGAAACAATATTCGCTTTCTTCTTCTTCTTCTTTTGGTAAAACCAGAGAGCTATAATGTAAGATGGGAGGAGAGGAAGGATTCCCTTTATAATTCACTTCCTTAGTCTTAATTGTTCCGGGGACTCAAACCTGGGAGAGTTTACATCTCTATGGAATGAGTCTTACGGAAGGCGCTGGAGAATTTGGGCTGACAAGTTTGGCTTGTTCTTGGGGGGGGGGGGGCGTTTTAATTTTTTTTTGCAAAAAGAGGAGAGTCTCTTAATGGTTCTTATCAGAAACTAAGGACGTAAAATGCAATTGTTTTAATTAAGGTGTTGCCGTTTCGGGATTGGGGGATGAGCGTAGCATTTCAGAAAACTTCGGTAGCTCAGATGGAGAGAGATGGGGGGTGCCACCTTTGCACCGGTCTGAAACTAAGAAGTCTGCTAAACATGGCAGTTTTCAGATAAAACCCCTCTTCTTTCGGGGGGGGGGGCAACTTGCCCCCGTAGGGAATCACGTCTGCTAGGCTTTACACACCTATCTATAACTGTTTATATTTATTTATATTTTCTTAAAGGAACTTTTGACATTTTTTGCTATGAAAAGTTGTTTTATTAAACAAAGCAGAAAATATCCTACTGGGTTGTAACGCCATAATAAAGTTGACTTCTCAAATACACTCCCCCCCTTTTTTTTTAGATAAAAGAAACTTATTTGTAATGAAAGCTTGATTACCAGTATTCCTAAAACGGTCGTAATAACATTGGGAAGGTTGATGATTTTAGCAGAATTAGAGGAAGGACTTGGCTTCCGAAAAGATCAAATCTTCCAAAGGAATTGCCTCCTTTTTCAGCGGCAGACAATCTGGCAAGGATGATCTATCCTTAGGTATTTGAGGCGTGGGTACCAAACTGGGCATGGCTACACAGACGCAGATTTGCCGCCGCTGCTGGCTGGGACCAGCTTCGTAGAGGACCTGCCTTAGTTCCTACATCTTTTCTCTTGCTGGAAGCACAAACAGCCAAACACCTAACCTCCCCAAATCCTTGCACTAACCCGGTCGTTTCGCGTTGAACGTCATTAAGAAGGAATCAAAAGTTCACCCAAGAAGTATTGCGTACTTTGTAGGAGTGTTGCTTAGGCCTCGAGTAATAAAACTGGGAGTAAAAAGAGGGGGGAAAGCCCTACATTTGCCAAGGGCTTAAGGGAACTTGAGGATCTGATCCTGCAAAGAGGACAGGTTTGGCCTGTGATTGGAGAGAGAGAGAGTCTGGAAGCTGCAAATCTTTGCAGAAATACATTGCAGAACAACGTCATGAGCAAAGGTAGTCGTGTTGTTATTGAGAAGGCTGCAAGGGGATGATCGTGTGCGTGTGCGTGCGTGGCGGGGGCCGACCTTTTTAGACTGGGATCTGATTCCTACCATCTCCCCAAGAAAGTTTGTATTTGTAGTATTAAGAATCAGATACTCATTCTTAGAGAGGCTGTGAACCCTTCTCCCTAATATTTCTGTGTGTGTGTGTGTGTGTGTGTGTAAGTGTGTGTAAGTGTAAACAGGCAAGGCAGAATGAAATTGGCAAGGTCCAGGGACGTGTGTGTGTTTGTAGCATAAATATATCTTGCCTGTCTATTAAAACAAGTAACTTGGTAATAATTTCCCCCCTCCTGTGCCAACATTTTCTTTTGTTCTAAGGTGAAGCAACAACTAGTTCCACCCCCTCCCCCGATTTTAATTGCAAGTTTAATTTTAATTTCTCCCAAGGGAAGGAAAAGAAAATATTGGGTGTGTTCCCCCCCTCCCTTCCTTGACGAACAGTAAGGAAGGGAGAAATGAATGTACATAAATATGAGGGGTCTGAGGTTTTTGTAGGCTTGGAAAAAAACACACAGCCTCCCATAACTCCTTCTTCACTCCTTCCCAATGACATCCTTCAGTTCTTTTTTTTCTTCTTTTTTTTGAAGGGTGGTGGAAATATTGGTGGGGAGGGGAAATAGTTGGAAAAGTAATCATTAATCCTGAAATGTGGGAGGCGGAGCTCTGGGGGAAATTGCCCCAAGTGCTATGAAACAGCAACAATAACAACGTATTTTCTGTTGGAAATTACTTGTGGGTTCCCAGAGCCCTCGGATACAAATTAAAAAGAAAAAGGATACTACGTTTGTTCATTTTGGCTAAGAACCTTTTCTCGAATGTAAATTGTTTTGGTAAGCGAATTTGCACGGCAGCAAAGTTTTCTTTTCTGTTTTCCAGCAACTTTGCCCTAACGAACCAGATGTTTTGTCTGCCGAGCCTCTAAAGCGGTGGTGGTTATAACTCCGACAGTTTTTAGGGTTTTAGTTTTTAACAGCCCAGAAATCCAGAGCTTGGAACTTTTAAAAACCGTTTGCAATCAGCATGTGGAGAGGTGTAGGGGGGCGGGGCAAGTCTCAAAAGACTTCCACGTCGGAAATGACCCCCACAAGCCATTGATCTGGAGAGTCTGAGCAATTCTTTAACAACCCCCTTTCCCACCTTCTGCTGGTCTTTGCAAAATAATTGTTGTTGTTTTAACTCCTTTAGGTTTTGCAAACGGGCTCAGCAAGTCCTGCAAGGAGAGGAAAAGTTCGATTTTATGTATCTCATTTATTTATTTATTTTAATTGGGAATGTTGCTTGGATTCAATGACTGTCTTGCCTCTCTGGATTACTGCCATTCCCCGCTTTCTTTAAAAAAAAGGAAGCGATGCTTAAAAGAAACTCATTTTTTCCTTTGTATCAGATCCCATCTCAGATTATTTTCCCTGTCATCCTAGTCGCTGTCTGGAAGGAGCTGTTGCGAGGTGCGTGCGTGCCTGTACTTGAAACACCAAGCGCCTTAACACAAACACCACACACAGGAGAAGCTAAAACTGGCCACAGGCTACAATTGGCCAGAGGCGCTCCTTCTTGAACTAAAGCGCCCAGTAAATCAGTGCAATGGGGGCCAAGTCAGAAGAGCCCCAGATCAAGGGCTGGCCAATGAAAACGGTTTGCAGAGCAAAGGCAGGTATTCGCCAGTTGCCCACGACACCTCGCCAACTGCGCTCAGGCGCGCCACACACCCCAGCCGGTCTCTGGACTTTTGCGCCCAGGAAAGGGCGGCGGCAACGCCAAGCCTTGACTTCCCTCTGCGTGGGGCTGTTGTGGAAAAGTGGCTCTTGCGCCTTCCCGATTCCCTTTTGCGCCACGGCCGTAAGGGACAACTAGAGAGCATCACGCACGGACACGCAGCCCTCCCAAGAGTCCCAAGGGGATAGATAAGCTTCCCTGGATAAGTTTTCTGCTCTCATCCTGCTGAGGCCACACACACACTATACTGTACATAGGCATACACATGCGCGCGTGCTCACACAAACACACCCTTTCTGGAAGAAGGAAGGGGGGAAAGATGGCTTTTAAGCAGCACTTTTCGAGGCCGTCTCCAAACTCTTTCCTAACTGAGGGCATCACATTGGGGGTTGGGGCAGTGCAGATTTTCCAGGTGGGGAGTTTGCAAAACCTCACCTGCTGCAAACCCTGTTTTAGCTTGTTTTAACTGCAGCTGAAGGTATATATATTTTCTTTTAAATCCACTAAAGCCGACCAGGTTATTCAACCTGGACCGAGCTGCAGGAATTTTGGTTCCTTAAAAAGAAAAATATTGTTTGCGCCCGCTTCCCTCAATTTGTAACTGGGACGTCCTGTTCTGGGTTGATCGCTTCCCAGCCTGAACGCAAACGGAGAGAGCGCTCGGGGTTTTTTTATTTTTTTGCAGAAAGCTGGAAGCTGCAGATGGTTCTTCCGCCGGAGAGAGAAGCAGCGAAGAAAAATCTCTGCAGAAGACAATTGCCCATCGCTTGGGAAGAAATAAGTTAACGCCTGGCAGAGCCGCGGTGCGCTCTCGCTGGGCAGCGGGAGGGAGGAGGAAAGACACGGATCCTGCAACGCCACCAGAGGCGACAGCAAATGCTATTTATATTAAGCCATGAGAGATTAGTCAATTTCACACACCCTTAGGAAGTTTTTGCTAGCGGACGCCTTTGCATAAATGGGATTGCTCTTTTCTTTTTCCCTTTTGCTTGCTTTTTTAAAAAGAAGGGCAAGCGCAGCAAAGACCACGAGCAACGTTTTTGGGATCCTGGCTCAGGATATCCAGATCCATCCATATATTTATTTATTTTTTAAAAAATAATCTATAATATATACTCAATAAAGCTTGATTCGCTTAAAAAAGAAAGCACAAGTTATTTGATTGCATAGCATAAACGGTTTATGAGAAAGAGAGAGACTAAGAATTCGTATTTTCTTTATGTCCACGTCTTTGACACACCCACCCACTCACTCTTTCTAAAAAAAAAATTGTGCTGTTTTCAAACGCCTCTGTGTAAAACAATTAAAAAAATTTTTTTGGCACCGATCCACTAAAACGAATAAGTCTCACTTATTTTGGTGAGAGTTACGCATGTGCTTAAGCAGGGCGGAGGCGCTAGCAGTCCTAGACAAGGATGGGTGATTTACAGCAAGACAAATCCTCCCCCGGCCCCACGAGCCTTTTCCCTTTCCTTCGACGCTGGGATGGTTTCGCAAGAGAAACAAGGGGGTTTCTCTTTTGTCTAGGACACAAAAAACAGTGTGTGTGTGTGTGTGTGTGTGTGTGTGGCGCAGGCATTTCTGAATTCCAAGACAGACATCCGTTAGAGCAGGCGTTGGATTCGAAGGAGACCCCCCTCCCTTGGCACGCGGTGGTGGTGGGGCGCGCCCCTAACTGCGCCTGCCCTTCCATAGCAGGGTCTCCCGGGGTTCCTTAGCAAAAAAGTGGGGCTGTCAACAATTAAAAACATCTTTTGTTGCTCGGTTACTTGTTTTGCTTTTCATTGATGGGAGGATTAAGACGACTTTCCTGGATGTTAACTGTCATGATAACTATCCTTTAAGGAGAAGAGGTGGAGGTGTGTGTGTGTGTGTGACCTGATGCAAGGGAGAAAAGAGCATCGAAAAAGCCTGCAGGATCAGGCCAGTGCCCCATCTAGTCCAGCATCCTGTTCTCACAGTGGCCACCCAGATGCCTGTAGGAAACCCGCAAGCAAGACCCGAGCCCAAGAGCCCAGTGATTTCCAGCAACTGATATTCAGGAGCATTGCTGCCTCCAACTGTGGAAGCCGAGCATGACCTTAGTGGCTGGCGGCCATTGATAGCCTTACCCCCTTCCACGAATTTGTCCAATCCACTTTTGAAGCCATCCAATTTGGTGGCCATCATCGCTGCCTCCTGCGGGCGCGAGTTCCGTAGTTCAACAACGCGCCGCTGCGCAGTGGAAGGACTTTCTTTTATCCGTCCTGAAAAGAAAGGAGAGGGAGGGCACCGGAGCAAGTTTGCCCTGCAGAGTTGTGAGGGAGAGTGACGCTCGTTTAAACTCTTGCCTTTCACAGCTGTTAAAGGTGAGGGGTTTCCTGCGACCCTGCAACCAAGTTTACGCGCGCTGCGAAGGCACCAGCTCGTCTTTTTTGCAAACTCGTTTTTGCGCGGGGCTTGTCTGCGACCAAGAGCCGCAGCAAATATTAGGGATCCCTTGGCCCCTTTGCAGCTGCTGATGCCCAAGCATTAACCTGGGAACTTTTGCAGGAGAAGTGAGCGCGCTCAGTCCCACCCCTGTGTGCTATGGTTCCTTCCCCCAGGAATGCTTATTTCTGATCATGAAGAGGTGCCTGGAGCTAAACCATTTTACCATTTGGGGCGGGGTGGTGCTGCTGCTGCTGCCTAGATGCACATCATCATTAAGAGAGCTATACTAGAGGCATCTCTGCCTGTGCTGTACACACCCATTTCGTTTGTCTCTCAATTGTCTGTGGTTAAAGAGTGTAGTTGAATTTCTTTTGACACCTTGCCAGGGGTAGCAAATGTGTTGCCAGCCAGTTGCTGTTAAACTAAAAGTCCTATCATCCCTGACCATTGTCCATGCTGGCTGTGGCTCATGGGAGTTGTAGTCCAACAGCATCTAGAGGGCATCACAATGACTGCCCCAACGTCCCCCCCCCAATACCAAGTCTGTTTGCCACAGATTCCCCACTGTGCAGAATACTTCAACATTTTGAAAAACAAACAAACCAGAGCCTATTTTCAGGCTCACCAATGACGGAAAAGCACTTTGTACATGCTTAGAGACATTCCAGTATTACGGCAACCCTTCCAAGGCTCTTGTCCCCAATGCTTCATGCCTAAACGTATTGCTCACCCTTTCCCCACAATGGATGAGTTCTGATTGTAAACTCAACATTTTAATCTGTAGTTAATGAATGAATCAAATCAATGGCTATTAGTGCTTTCAAACTTTAATTGAAGGAGCATCCCATGTACTTTAGTCCAAAGCATCACTTACACTGCCTGTCATTCACTTCGGCTGATCACCATGCCATATGAATTTAAAAAAGGGCCCACTTTATTCGTAAGAAATTACAAATGTCTCGGTTGGGTCTGAAAGCATTAATTGATTAATCAGAATGATGATTTGATGAGTTAATTAACTGCAAATTAAATCATGCTTTCATAGAAATCCTATATGCTGGAGAAAGGGGGCGCGTTTGGCAGTTAACAGGAATGACTGAATGAACCTGAGCACTTATTCACAACGAAAAGAATATTCTCTCATCTACTAAATGGGTTTTAGCAAACAGGATTTTAGGGAAGAGAAACAGAAATGATTCGCTTCCCAGGATTTTCTAAGTATCTGGATTTAACACAGTTTAGGGTGTGTGTAAGCTGGTTAAATAGCTGCCGTTGCAGTGCAATGAAGGGGGATGACAAGGACTTTTCTGACCCTTTAGCAAAGCTACAGTTTCAAGTGTAGGGGTCAAGCCTTGGAAAAGCTGAAACTAAGGTTGCCAACTTTCCCCCCCTGGCAGGGCTCTTCTGCTTTGTATTGCTGCATGACGCCATCAGAATGTCAGCAGATGAAATATCTCCCAGCATGGGAACACAAAAGTGAATTTCCATATATTATGCAACTGTTAAATACTGCTAAGTGCTGTGCTGACATCTCGAGAAGTTTGATTGCACCATCTCCAGAGCCCCGTTTAAGCTCTAGTATCTTGCATTCATTTATTAATCCAATTCAACTGTAATTTTAGGTAAGCGTTTTGAAGGTGGCACATGGAATTGGGCATGTGCGTCCAGTATTCAATTTTAATCCATACAGGCCTGCCCCACTCTGGAACAGGGAGGAGGCTGCACCAAGGCAGAGTGACATCCTAGACACAGCTGCCCCTACCATTAGGCAGAGTGTAGTGAGTGCCTCAGACGGCTTGTTTTGGATGTCAAGAAGGGACAGCAAAGGTATCTTTGTTAGCGTAAGTGACAATACAACAATAAGAGGTGATTGTGGGATTTTAACTTGGCCCTCCTCAAGTACTACGCACCTTGAATTGGAGGAGGGAGAGGTGTTAGCATTCTTCCTCAGGCAGCAAAATGTATTGGACCTGCCCTGACCATACATGGGGGGGACGGGACGATGACACATTTTGAAGAACACCAATGCCCCGTCTACATGTGCCACAGAATGAGATGGTAGAATTGTTAGCTGAGAAATACTGCTTTGCCTATGGTCACTTATGGAGCTGTAGGATGGGACATTTGAACCAGGTCCTCCTGGTTTAGCATCTTCTGTACAATACCACATTGGCTCTGGTTGAGGGCAATGACTGTTCATAGTAGGTTTAGAAGGAAGCTGATCATGTTTAGATGGAATAGTTTGCAAGAACACTAAACTCAAGCTCCTTGATCATGGGCTTCCAGAAGTGTCTGGAGCCCACTTGTTAAAATAGGATACTGGACAAAATGGACCTTTTGTCAGACTGGGATTATGTCCTTATTCCAGAGGGGCAGCTGTTTTTGTTCCATCAGGCACCAGGGATGGGCAAATCTGTCAATTTCTGTTTCTCCCTCTTTGTCATTTTTCCAGTCTTAAATTCAATTATCCACACTTCTACATCCATTTGAAGTTTGTTTGTTTTTGCTCACGAAGATTCACTAGTGTGTCCTTGTGCATTTTTGCCTAATATGCACATTTTTGCAAAGCAATTACCTCTAATTTTTCCTGTATGTTGTTTCCACCTATACACATTTCTTAGAACATTGCTTGATCAGAGAACTGCGTTGCAAAATCCAGAGCTGTGCAAATTTTGAAGCCCTGCTATGTTTCTTATATCGTCTTATATTGTTTCCAAAAGTGTGAATAAGTTAGACCCACCTTTAAATGCGATGTGAATTGAAATTCTCCTCCATCCCTATCCAATGCAAAATGGTCTTGGGTCGCCTTAAAGACTGACAACATTCCATGTTTGCAGAAGCTTTTGCAGACTTCCATCCAATGATGTGGACTCCAGCCTACAAAAGCCACAAAACAGAGTTCATTAATGGTTAAGTGTTTAAGATGCTGTAGTTTTATGTATTATGTTCCTATTCTCTCTTTAATTTCCAATGATTGTCACTAAGGCTATTATAGTTGCAGCTGTTGTTATTGCACACAATTTCTTTTCTTTCTTTCTTTTTTAGGGTAAAGATTGAATTGTCCCACAAATCCTTTGCGTGGTGTACCAATTGACATTTGTCCCTGCTCGCTCAGGGACAGCTGAAGGATTGGAGCAGTAACCTCGAGAACTTTGGGGAAAGCGTTTCTCTACATATTTTTGTTTGTGCTCATTAGGGTGATAAAAGCAGGACAGGCGGTTTCATTTTCCCCGTTAGTTGTGACTACCGTTCGTGCCATCCAGGTCAAACGCAACGTGGAAAGTAAGAAAATCTGACACCATCATTGATCTGCTCTCCTTGTACTCATGTCATCCCCGTACACTAGAGACAAAGAAATGTGGCTTAAAAATTGCAATTAACCAGCATTGGGGCAGGTGCCTCTCGTTGGCTATTTATTCTTTTCAAACTTCATGTCGTCCTGGAAGCAACACTCATTCATAACATTCATTCATCCTTCCAATAAAAAAAACAAAAAACAAAAACATTGCATGTACAGATTGCATGTGCCTGTTCATATTCACCTTCTTTTCTTTTTATTGGAAGCGGGGAATTTATGTGTTTAGTGCCTCACAAAGTTTGCTTGAGTCTTGAATAAATCTACCCACCTCCCCATTTTAAAAAGCATTAGCTTCCTTTCAAACATTCCTTAACCTTTAGTGTTTTGCAACTTGATGAAAAGGAAAAGGTCGATTTGTTCAGAAGGGATGTGTGTGCTCTGTAATTGTTCCAATAGCTATGGAGTTTTGGCCTCACTCTTTCGGCTTTTGCTTTGCGTTTTAATTTCCACAGGAGCTGTCTCTGCACCCTCCCCTACACACACACACGCACCCCACAATTGTCAAATCAAGACCTGCTCCAGGTGCTTTCATTTAGGTTTACTTCTCAGTGGGTGGTAAATCTGGGACTGGGTTCTGTGCTCCAAGTGTCCCTGATAAGTCACCGTTCCTTGCTTTTTAAATTTTCATTTTTTGCCTTCTGGCGGATGTCTTGCTCAATTTTGAAACTGTGAGCTGTCATTTTTCAGGGTTTTGCTCCCTCCTTAGGGTTCTAAAGGGTAAATCTCTCAGTGGGGAACTGAAGCCCTGAAGCTCAGTGGCAGAGCATACGCTTTGCTGGCAGAAAGCCCCAGGTTCAACTAGGAGAGGACCCTGCCTGAAATCCAGGAATTCTGCTGCCAGTCAGGATAGGATTAGGGTTCCAGTGCAGTGATGACCCTATCTTGAGTCACAAAAACCCACCTCAGGCAGCTGATGCTAGGGGTCAGGGAGGAACAACAAAAGGCTGAGGGACAGAGCTGAGTGGGCCATGTTGCCTGCTGCCACTGCTGAAATAGATGTAATAAATAAGAGATAAATACATTTTACCATCCACCATTTTCTCCAAGGAGATCAAGGTGACATACATGGTTCATCCCTCATCATTCAGCCCCCACAACTGTGGGATGTAAAACACAGGAGCAGTCAAGTACAACATTCCTAGAGTGAACATGTTTACACATGGGGAGGGATGTTTGTCCAGCCAGCAGCTAAACTTCCTGTTTCCTTCTGGACAGGGACAGACTTCCTCTGCATGTGACTAGAGGTCGGTGTGGCCTCACCTGTGCAGGTAATGACAAAAGCACAGGGCAGAGCAGCCATCTCTCTCTCTATGACTACATGCATCGAAGAAGCAAAATCTGTTTAGCCAAAGATGCTCTCTTGGCCTCCAGCCAAGAGAGGACAAAGGGACTGTCTCCTTATGAGATAGTTTCCAGGTGTATGTTACTTTTCTAAGCTAAGTCTGCCTTCTGGGATCTGATTGTGAACAGAATGTGAGTAAACTCTTTTTATATTTTTATAGAAGACTGTGTCGTGTCTTATCTTTTATGAGGGAATAAGGGGAAAATACCAGAACAGATATTATAGAGGCTTTAGCGAGCCTGAGCAAACGCATCCGCTGTGAGTTTAAAAAGGGGAATGTTATGCTGCTAAATTGTGAACTTGTTTACACAAGTTGGAAAGGCTATAATCAAACAATATATCCTCTCCTGCATCCTTGAACATGCCCACAACAATAACCCTGTGAGGTAGGTTAGGCTGAGAGGCAGTGACTGGCCCAAGGTCACACCCAGTAGTGAGCTTCATGGCCAAGTAGGGATTTGAACACTGGTCTCCTGGTCCTTGTCCAACACTCTAACCACTATACCACACTGGCTTAGTTGGTATTCCTTGAAATGGTTTGGGAGGCACCATCTTCCTTTTGCCTCAAACTTTCTTGAGCCAGCCCTGTAGCAACAGAAGGTTGCATGCGGAAGGGTATCACATTATTTTTCAAAGGCGATTGCAGGGAAGTCATTGGGTTCTGGGCCACTCATGCAATATGTCACTCCTTAAAGCTACGGGTAAAGTGGTAAGATAGGAGAGGACTGTAGCTCAGTGGCTGGACACCTGCTTTGTAGGCAGAAGGGCCTTCTGGTTCAATGGCCAGAAGCTTCTCCAGGGAGGGCTGGCAGAGAACCTTGCAAGAAACAAGGGTTCAGTGTGTGAGAGATCAAGCACTCCTCTTTAGCTACGAGACGTAGGTTACAAACACACCTCTGTGTTTGTCTGCAAAAATGTTGGTGGTGATGCTCCAGTTGGCTAGCGGGAGCTGACAGGACTGGATGCGCCTCCATTAAAAAATGGAAAGACCCAGCACCTGAAGAACTGTATTCCCTCACAAGAAGCTGCCCAGGCTCTGAGAGCTTAGGGGGAAGCTCTTTTCTTGATCCTGTTACCCTCACTTGGTAGGGAAGCAGGAGAGAGCCTTCTCAGTGGCTGCTCCCAGGCTTTGGAATTCCCTTCTTAGAAATATCAAGGCTCCCCCCAACCCTTGTTCTCCTTCTGTTAGTAGATGGAGACTTGTTCCTTTTTTAAAAAAACCAACAACAGTTTGTTTAAAGATTTCCCATAAATTTGATACATAAGATTGATTATATCACCATCTTCTCAATAAAAGACTGTCTTGTTCCAATAGGTTTTTGGAAGTTGACTGTTTCTAAGGAAAGGGCTGGCACTGCAATGTTTTTATTGTAATGATCTGCATGTTTTAATAGATCATATCTGTGTGCAGGGCTTTTTTTCCCCAGCCAGAACTCGCCAGAACTCAGTTCCAGCACCTCTCAGGTGGGTGCCATTGCCATTATAAGAGAACAAGGGAGGCATTCATGGTGAGTTCTGGCACATTGTGTGTGTGTATGATGATGATGATGATGCTGATGATGTTTTAAAATTATTGCTTCCGCCATGTGACCTATGTTTTTACCTCTTTCTATTTTAGCTGTAAGCTGCCTTGAGTCCTTGTCAGGGAAAAAGGTGGCTGGTAATAATAATAATAATAATAATAATAATAATAATATCCATGCACTTAGAAAACTGGATCTCAGGAAGAAGGGTTATAGTCTAGCCTTCTCTCTTCCACCATTTTTTCTCTATTTGGAGAGAATCTTAGGAGCTAGCAACATGTCTGTCCCTGCCTGCAGTCTCGAATGGTGCAACCCAGACACAGGCTTATTGCCTTAGTGAGAACTAGGTCAAGAAAAACTGGACTGGGTTTTTTGTTTTAAATGCTTTCTGGGTTGACATGCTATAGAAGCCCTTTATTAGATGGCTTTTTAAAATGGTGACCTAAGCAAAATGTTTTCTTTTTGTAAAGTTCGGGAACTGGGCAGGTCAATGAGCGCTGTCTTGGAATCATGTTTATTTGCACCTGCCCCGTTGTTGCAGAGATATTGAATTGAAGTAGCAAGGAGATGTTACTTTGCAAGTAGGATATATATAGATATACATTCATTTTCTTATGCATTCCAAATGAAAGCTTAACAAATAGGAACCACAATGATGCTAATAACGTAATAGATCAGGGGCTTTTGGGATGGAAGGCCTATACTGATTTCCATGCACAAAGATTAGCATCAAACAGAATTTTGCAATTGCCTGTGTAAATTCTTTCCTGTAATGATAAGAATGCACCTCGAAGCTGTGGATTTTGATCCCAGATACAGATGTGCACACACACACACACACACACACACACCACTCTGCATCTCACACAAGGTGTCGTGGATACTTCTGGAAGACAAGCAGCTGCAATAAGAGAGATCAGAAAAGGAGACTTAAATTGATACAATTAATCCCTTGGAAATACAGCAAGACTATCTTTCCTTATTCTTGCACAGTTCAAACATCCAGAGAATATGCTTAATTAAAATTTGGCTATACATTTTTAAAAGATAACAAAAAAAATAAAAGAAATGGGCTAATTATATTGCTCTGCATTCTGCTATGTATTTTTTTTTTTTTTAATAACATACTTTTCCAGCTTGGTCCAATCCCAGGAGATGTAGTTCCTCATTTATAAGAAGGTCCCTGGTGGGATTTTAAAAGGGGGATATCTTATAAAAGGAAAATATATTTTGAAAGTGGTTCCTTGAAAGGATCAGTGGCATCCTGGATGTATCTGTGTCCAAAATGTGCATCTTCCAAACATGCAAATGTTTCTCCTCCAAGGATTTCCCATCTTGTCTTCAAATTGGCGAAGCAGGCGCTGCCGCCTTCAGCTCTTCCTCACAGTTCCCCAACTATCGTAAATAGACAGTTTTGAAAATTTGTTTTATTTAATGAACTGAAAGGTTGAGTCTTCTCCTTTGCGTATTAACTCCCCCTAATATATGATGGTACATATTAATGGTCGTTAACAAGCTAAATGCTTTTTCCACAGAAAGCCCACAGGAGAGAGAACGAGGGGGAAAATATCCCCTCATTTGAGATAATTTCACTGAATCGTTGCTGTGTTCTCCCCTCAGGGCAAGGTGAGACGTGTCCTGGAAATATGTTAGAGAGAGGAGAGAGGGCATCCAGGAGCTGAAAGCAAAGATGAGGCAGTCTTCAAAAACTGCTGGCCTGGGAAAATCCAGATTTGGAAGGGAAATCAGTTTGCAGTCCTATTGGTTTGGGGCCATCCCCACAGAAGGCCTTCCTTCCTCCTTGCACCATCTCAAAACCTTTCTCCTCTTCTTCTCCTCACTGTTGGGATTCTCCTCAGATCCCTGCTGCCTTTAGAATGGAAGCAGAAGGTGAAAAAAATGGCAGCACTGCTTGGAATCTTAGGCTCCATCTGCACTATACATGTCTTCTTCTAATTCTTCTTTGGCGAGTAAGATTGTCTTCCATAAACACGGTTTTAACAATGAGTCAGTAAGTGACTGTAGAGGCCAATTCTGGATCCACACATCCTTCCACAGTGGGGACATTGGTTAAAGCACAATGAGCCCCCTTTAAACAGACATGGCTCCCCACCCAAAATATTCTGGGAGCTGTAGTTTGTTCAGGGTGCTGACAGTTATTAGGAGGCCTGTCTTCTCCTCAAAGAGCCTCCTGGGAAGAGGGCTAGATAGTTAATCTGTTCTGGGAACTGTTGCTCTGTGAGGGGAATACGGGTTTTCTAACAACTCTCAGCACCCTGAACAAACTACCCTTAATAAACTACCTTTCCCAGCATTCTCTGAGGGAAGCCATAACTGTTTAAATCAGTGGTTTTTAACCAGTGTGCCGTGGACCCTGGGGTGCCTTGAACAATGGTCAGGGGTGCTGTAGGGAAGGTGTTCAAAAAGGGTGAGAGGCTGCCAGCTCTGCAGGCAAGGGGTGACATAACTGGGCCCCTGGGCCCCACGGGGTGCCTCAGAAAGAATGTAGTTGGTTAGGGGAGCCATGGACTCAAAAAGGTTGAAAACCTCTGCTTTAAAGTGGTCTCATAGTGGTTTAAATCGATGATGCAGATGGGGCCTCAGATTACAGCAGCACACTCCTGCTTTTAAGTGGCTACAAAACCACAATTCCAAGGTGTTAACCGAGCCTTAGAAACACACAACCAGAATTCTACCATCATATTTTAATTTTTTAATAAAAAAAATAGTCAATGAAAACACTTATTGCTCATTCACTGCCCCCAAAGATGACCAAATGTGAATCTGATTGACTTCTGCGGCAATTAAAGGCAGAAGATCTCAATGTATGGGAATACAAACAAATGTCAATAAACTTTTAATGTGCTATTCAACTTCCACAGCTGATTGTTGTTTATTGCTATTATTGTTTTTTTGCCCGAGTAAGACATCCTAAATTAGCCTCAGATTTTTCTTACAGGGAACATTTTGTGGCAACTTCGCAAATTATTTGCTTCCCTTCTTGTAACCACGTTGCCAGTTCTGTCGGGTGTGTAGTATACAGTGAAGACGGCAATTGAAAAGTAAGCTGCCTTTAAAGAGATTTCCCTTTCCATCATCCCTCAGAAACCAGTGAATAAATATCCCTTCCTTTGTAGATTTAGACTCCACTCCTAAGAGCAGCTTGGCAGTTTGGTTTCACCCAGAAGAAAGGAATCACATCCTCGAGTGTAGCTGATAAGAGCAACAATTTACAAACGCAGGATCTGTTATGCAGAGAAAGCTTTATTGCCGTGACTCCCGCATTACATCCGCAGCACACAAGGGTTAATCGCTGGATCAGTTTGCAGCTGGTGGGTGCTCCCTGGGGAATCTTAGCAATAGACTCCTCCATGCAGACGGGGTCAGTTTTGCTATCTTCAGGTCAGCAGGTCACGTGATAAAGGAGCTCTGAAACTTCAACTCCTAGGAGACACAAGTGCCAATCCCATTTTGTGGTCTGCTGCTGCAGGGCTCTCCTTGTGGTTTTTGGCTGACTCCATCAAAATGCATGCATAGCCCTGCGGCGTATAATTGGAAAAGAGGGATTTTCAGAGCTGCAGATCAGACTGGGGTTTTCTGTGCTAGCTCATAAGCAGTGGGCTCATAAGCAGTGAATGGTCCCTGGGAGGATTCCTTAAGCTTACCCGCACTCTGCTATGTCTCCCTCCATCATTTTCTGTTTCCTCCTTTTAATGGCCCTGTGCTAAACTTTGAGTTGTAGACAATAGGAGAACAGTTCTTTTGACCTAAGGTGAACATAAGGACATAAGAAGAGTCCTGCCAGATCAGGCCAATGGCCCATCTAGCCCAGCATCTTGTTCTCACAGTGGGCAACCAGAGTCCTGTGGAAAACCTGCGAGAAGGGACCCGAGCACAAGAGGCCTCTCCCCTCCTGCGGTTTCAGCAACTGGTATTCAGAAGCATTGCTGCATCCAACTGTTAACCACTGTGGCTGGTAGTCACTGATCGCCTTCTCCTCCATGAATTTGTCTAATCCTTATTTTAAAGCCATCCAAGTTGGTGCACACCACTGCCTCTTAGCTTGTGGGCAGCAACAACAGCAGCATGGTGCTCTCTCTCTCTCTCTCTCTCTCTCTCTCTCCAGTGGTTCCTCAGGTTAAGAACTTAATTCGTTCTGGAGGTCCGTTCTTAACCTGAAACTGTTCTTAACCTGAGGTACCACTTTAGCTAATGGGGCCTCCCGCTGCCACCGCGTGATTTATGTTCTCATCCTGAAGCAAAGTTCTTAACCCGAGGTACTATTTCTGGGTTAGTGGAGTCTGTAACCTGAAGCATCTGTAACCTGAAGCATATGTAACCTGAGGAACCACTGTATTTTTATATTTACCACTTTCCTGCCCAGAGCTGGTCCATGACGTTTTGCTCACTGAGGCGACAGATGGAAGGTGACCAGATGAGCAGCTGAATCGTACTTTTTCTATGGGCAGATGAATCTTTTTTAAGCACTGGCAATGGCATGGCATCCTCCAGCGCACCTGAGGGCAGCATGCACGGCACCTGCAGTTCTCTCCTCCACCACCTCCCTCCCATTCCCTGCCTCCCATTGTCTGCTGCCCGAGGCAGCCTCCTCACTCTGCCTAATGGCAGGGCAAGTCCTGGTCCTGCTTCAGTTGGAGGCTCACAACAAGAGTTTAAAAAACAACAACACAAAGGCACAAACTATTAAAGGGAAAAAAGAAAACAAATAATATAAACCACCTTTAACAGGGAACCCATTCTGAATCCCCGCCAAGTATACAACTGACTTTCTTTATAGTTCCATCTTTCACACCTTCCTCTTTCTTATTTTGTATCATAGGATTATAGATATAGAAGGGATCCAAAAGTCATCTAGTCCAACCCCCTGCAATGCAGGAATCACAGCTAAAGAATCCCTGGCAGCACACACTTTTCTTCTGCTTCCTCTGCACTCTGCCTTCATTTCTCCATGATCCTCAGGCCCAGGTTCCGGCTTCAGTTGGGCATATTGCCCTGTGCTAGGCAGAACACATATAAAGCAAGGTGCTGGTAACTTTCTTTTGAAGCCTGGCTGGGGCCGGCCCTACTGTTAAGTAACGTGAGCTGACTTCCTGGGGCTGCAGATTCTGGGGATCAGGGTGTGGTGGTGAGTTTTTTTGCTATTATAACAGAACAGTCACATTTTGTGCAGGGGTTTAGTTCCAAGGGCTCTGCATCTACATGAAAGCATGTGTACTCAAACTTTCCCCTTGGAAGAAGAAGAGTTTGGATTTGATATCCCGCTTTATCACTACCTGAAGGAGTCTCAAAGCTGCTAACATTCTCCTTTCCCTTCCTCCCCCACAACAAACACTCTGTGAGGTGAGTGGGGCTGAGAGACTTCAGAGAAGTGTGACTAGCCCAAGGTCACCCAGCAGCTGCATGTGGAGGAGAGGAGACGCGAACCCAGTTCACCAGATTACGAGTCTACCGCTCTTAACCACTACACCACACTGGCTCTTGGAACCACCCTATCCTTTTGAAGCCAACATGCAAGGTGGAAACAAGAAAGATGGAAAACTTATGCATTTAACTGGCTGGGTTTCAACCAACGTATGGTTGAGATTGTTCATCTTAGATGTGCATGATATACTTTTTGTATTTTATTGTTTTCATTTCTTTTGGATTTTATCTGTGTCATTTTAATTTCTGCAAGCCACTTTGAGTCCTGGTCTGGGGGAAAGGTGGGATATAAATAAATGTAGCAGCAGCAACAATAATTGTTAAACAGGCTAGTTGCCATCACCACAACCTATGGCCGTGAATTCTGTCCTCTGTTCCTTCAAAAGGAGTTAGCATATTTATTTACTGATTTCTTTATTTTGCATTCACATCCTGCCTTTCCTCCATCATGGAGTCCAGGCTGAGAACATGTGGTCATCATCCATCCAGACATTGGACAGAATCAGATCTGCTTTGCTTGACCGAGGTGGTGGCCCCACAGGACTTCAGATTGTGCATACCCTGGGATGAGTATTGCATAATGGATAGTTAAACAATTGGGATTCGACCCTATCAGTTTTTAAGATGGTATTTATCCAGTGGCACGACAAGAACATTTTTTAAAAACCCAACCAACTCTTTAGTCTGCTAAGCATATGTTCCATCTTCAGAATGGCAAGCACCACCCATGAAACGCAAGTCATCATTGGGGCAAACTGAATTGAGGTTTTGCTGGAATCAAAGCCCCCCAGATGTGAGTCTATGGGGCAGCTTTCCCTATATTTATCATTTCATTGCAAACCATATTTCTGCTTTCACATATCTGTGTCAAAAAATACTTTGAGACACACATATATAAATGATGGTGTGGCAGAAATATTCCTCTAGCCCGGGGTGGCTTGTTTGAGGGGACAGGTTTTGTCCATTTCTCCTTTGCGTTGCTACCCTGCTGCAGGAATGGGGACCTCCTCCTCTCCCCCCGCCCATCTTCAAATCACTGGGGAGAGGGTAATTTAAGCTATACTTGATGTAACCTATACATCACTGTCTTCTGGACCAGCTTTAAAATTAAACTCTGATGTACAAAGTTAAACAAAAATGAGATAAAAATTGGCAGGGGTTGAAGAGGGTCAAAGTAGTCAAAACAGAAGGTGGACCATTCCTCCTTTTGATTTATGTTATTCCACGGGCCAGGAAAAATAAAATAAAATTATGAGTCTCACTGAGACTTTTTTCGCTGAAAATAATGCATTCCTAATTTGCTTTCTATAGACTACCAGGCCTTTGATGTGGAAGATGAACAAATAAAATTATAAAGAAGCAGCAATGAGGTGGAGGTGGGGAGAGAATGGGGGGTGGGGAGTGTATGAATTGTAGCAATTGTTAATAAATAGTTTTAAAATAGCATTTATGCTTTAAATATAATTTAAATGCTGCTTTTTATTGCCCATCAACATCGACGCTGAGAAATTTGCTTGAATTCTTGGCAGCAGGTTTTCAAATATTAGCACTTAAATATTAGCACTTAAATGTGTGCTGAGGAGAATCATTATCTTCTACCTACATCAATATCACACAATATTAATAACTGTCTCTTTCATTAGAACTTCTCATTTTCCACATATTTTGGGCATTTCCTATTGTGAGATCCACAGTGATGCTGCTGGTCAATTGGAACAGGATGGTTCTCTTATTTGACTTAAGGTTTTCATATCCTTTGTCTGCTTCTTTGTTCCCTACCATCTCATCCTTCATATTTACTTCAGTTAATACTTTCATATATGTTCCATGTTTAGCAGGGATAGGGAGCCTGATAACTTCCAGATGTTGTTGGACTACAACTCCCATCAGACCCTGGCATCGTGTACAATGGCCAGGGATGATGGGAGTTGTAGTCCAGCAACATCTAGGGAATCAAAAAGTTTACTCCCCCCCCCCAAAGAATCCTGAGAACTGTATTACCCCTACAGAGCTGAGGTTCCCCAAACTCTTAGCAAACTGCAGTCCCCAGGCATCTTTGGTGGCTGGTGCCCATGTAGCCATCTCCTCAGTATTGAACCTGGGAATATCATTTGTTCCTGGATGCTGGCAGAAATAAATATTTCATGCCTTGCCTGTAATAAAACAAGGTTAAGTTAAATGGCATAGAGAGAGAGAGGTTCTCACCAATGAATGTGCTTTAAAGGAGGAATGCTCTAATTTCTATCACTTTGCTTTCATTACAGTGCAAAGCATTACAAGCCAAAGCTGTTTCCTGAATAAACCTTCCGATGGCAGGCTTCTTGAACAAGTTGACTGTTTCTAATGATCAACAGCTGCCTCTGTGGTTTTTTTTAACTTCAGTCTAGTGATTCATGTATTTTGCCCAGAAATGATCAGTGGAACAAATGTT